AAAATGTTCAAAGCAGTCACGACTCGAAATTTCATACAGATAATTTCCTGAAATTCGCAGTCATAATTTTAAAAAATGCAATAAATTAATGAATGAAATCGAATAAATTTAGAAGAAAATTTTAGTTTAATTACTGATATTTCTCATGAAATTGTTTCATTCAAGCAAAAAATCAAAGGGAAATAATTTGAACATTCATGATGAGAGGGAGGGAGGGGAGGTTAATGTAGAATCAAATATTATTTATTATTAGGGCTGTAGTGCATGTGATTCCGTTTATACTTGATGAATCAATAGGAACGAACAGTAACAAATGAAGGGACATATATATTGGAGTTACGCCCCTCTGTGATTATTGCTTCAAAAACAAAGGGACGTATGTGCCTGAGTTACGCCCCTTTGGAATTATTCATTCTCAATATGAGCTAGAAAAGAAACAAAAAGTATAAAAAGAAAGAGGCGTATGTGCTGGAGATACGCCCCTTCAGTACTTGCTAGTTGGACTTACGTCCATTTGCCACTTCAGAAATTTGTCCACAAAAAACCTTTCATAAGTTGAGAAAACTCCATTTCGAAGGAAAAAAAAAACATACGCCCCTTTGGTATTAAGAGAAAAAAAATCTCAGAGAAATGGCACTTACGCCCCTTTCATTTTAATGCGACGATATATCTTGAAAAACGAAGAATGAGTTCAAAAAAAGATTGTTTATTGCATGTTTGCTCCCCAGGCGCTTGAAATCTAAAAAAATAGTCCAGTGTACTCTATTTCAGAGCTACGAGAGTCTTTTTTTCTCAATTTTTTTTCAAATATGTGTAGAACAACAATTACGAGGTACTTGTTTCAAATTCAACTCCTAAATAGTCAATTCCGTGACTTTTTTAATTAAAAAAAATCAATATTCCTGCAAAATAGCCAGGAAAATAATCCTGAAAATAATTATAGTATTTTGGATTTGAGGAAAAAATTTAGAAGTATTCATTCTCCGGGCTGTTTTGCTTGAATATTGCAATTTTTTATTCGGAAAAGAATGAAATTGGTTATTTAGAAGTCGAATTTCGAAAAAGTACCTCGTAATTGTTATTCTACAGATCTTTTGGAAAATTTCGAAAACTATAGATTCTGAGATTTTCAATCATCAAGTTTGTCTATTGAAGTAGCTCCACACTCACGATAAATTTGAAAATCATTAAAAACTGCAAGGGATTCCCAGGAAATTCGATTCGATTCAGAAGCGTATTTTTTTCTCAATTTAATGGCCGGTGGATTTTTTAGTGAAAAAATGGTGGAAAATCAGGATTTAAACCAGTGCGGGGCTGTTCATTTACTACGAAAGACATTCAGAGGGGGGTCCTAGGATTTCTGAGTTCATTATTAGGAGGGAGGGGAGGAGGGTGAAAATTTCATATAAATACGGGAAAAAGTCACGTGTTACCAACTAAAATTTCCAGTGCTGGAATTCTTCCCTGGCCATCACTTTGAGCCCTTTTTCCAGTGCCAGCACTAGAATTTTTCTGGAGAATTTCTCTCCGTGCAAAATTCGAAATGGAGGCAAATCCGTTACGATTACGAATAAATGATTTTTAGGGTGGAAAATTGATTGCTTCTGAAGGATTTATGGAAAACGATAAAAACATGAATTTGTTAATTATTTCATAAATTTTTCACACGAAACAGTTGTGACGAGGCATATTCATTTATTTTTTATTATTTTTCTACATATTTTTTCCCACTACACACTGCCCCCTAAAATGTAAATCCCGCCACCGTTGGATACCCCTTCCCTCACTTTTCCCCCTCATCGCCCCTCTGCCCCTGCCCTTGGACATCACGAAGACATCAGCCGAAGGAAGACATCAGTTCCGGCCCCACCCGATCAATTGGAGAAGCCAACGCCTCCTGGAAATTTCCCATACTGGATCCCCGAATATTCAACACCTGCAATAATCCCCAGCGAGACATCCCTGGATTGTGGTCATCGTCATCACTCACCCGTGCTGATTGGCCCCGATTGCTCCCGAATTACAACCCGAAGGACTTCGGCACCTGACAAACCCCCACGAATCACGGAGGAAACGAAAAGACCGTCACTCGTGTAACCGCTGTCCTGGACCCTGCCACGTGCGCCCCAAGAGTTGAAGAAATAGTGTATATACCCCGAAATTCCGTATATTGGATTTTGTGATAGAGTGAAGAGGATTTTGGTGCCCGAGCTCATCCCGGCTCTAAATACTGTGCCCCTGGAGTCTGAAAGGAGGAACGAAGGCTCAATCGCTGGAGTCGCTGAAGGACCCGGATTAGACCTTAACTGGAAGTCGTGAGTACGAGTTGTCCCCCTCATTTCCCCCTCGCCACAAGAAGTATTCCTTTCTATACCCCCCAACGATGAGCCTACACTCTTTGTTTCTTCCCCATTTAGTTATTCTTTTCATATTTAGTTGCATTCCCTCGACACGAATAGCTTCTCCCCTTTTTCTGCATTAGAGTCACTCCTCTTTTTACGTGTACAAAAGTTGCCTGGCCTTACCCATAACCCTAGATCCAAGTAAAAGGCATTTCAAACGTCTTACGACGATCTAATATGTAAATTAATAGAAATATAGATATTTAGTTAATTTTATCCCTCATTTGTCCTCATTATTTAATTGCCCTAAATCCCCCTTTTAGGAAATAATATTAATTAAATATTGAAAGGTCACACAGTGTAACAAAACGGTTATAGATCCCGTCAAAGAGTGAAACAATTAGAAGGTCCAAACGGGAAAGATTTTCTGCCTTCACCCTCCTGTATGGCCCTTGTGATCCTTTCAGGCGACTCTAACGTTTGACCTATATAACTATTTAATTCTACCCTTCCGTTCGATCCTTGTGAAATAAGAGCTTTGGACTCTGGTAAACTGGGTGACCCTGATAACCCATTTTACCCCTCTCCTCCCCCTAGTTGATACGAAAAAAACAAAGCATCTGAATTCTGCTATACATTCGGTTTTTGCTATCGTTTCATTTTGCCCGGCGTTTCACTTTACCCTGGGTCCCCTACGGCCATTTTTTATGGATAATAATTATTATATAATATAATTCATTCATTTATGGCACGCCGTGCAATAAGTCGAGTTTATCGCACGCTGCGCTTCGCGCAGCGTGCTTCAAGCTCGACTTCTGCACGATGTGGCATAAAATAGTATAAACCACTCGGGCATAAACTTCGTTTTCAACGAATGTGAATACAGATCTCGCCTTCGGCTCGGCCTGTAAACTTCACATTCGTCGAAAACGAAATTTGTGCCCTTGTACTCTAATGTACTATTATAAAAAATCAATTTTCCGGCCTGAAAATACTTTTTTCGAAATCGTAGCAAATTTATAAATTTTCTGAATTTTACTAGAAATCATTTTCATGCACAAAAAATAAGGTTCCCAAAAGTTTAAACAATTTCACTTACTTATTTATGAGAAGGAAATGTTAACAATAAAAAAATTCTTTACAAAATGGAATTTGAATGAAGCTCGATTACCATGAATTTTTTCAAATTTATCGCATAAGAATCTGAGATAAAATCAGAAAGTCTACTTCTGGAGAAAAATCTATAACATAATTCAAAAGATACAATTTTTGAAGATTACGATCATTTTTCATGAAAAATTTATTCAAAATATGAGTGTTCCACCCTGCAACGATTTTTTTGGAAATCCTCACAAATTTATTAACATTCAGAATTTCATCATCAATCGATCGATTTCATGCCTAAAAATAAGGTTTCCGAAAGTTTAAACAATTTTAATTATTCATTTGCAAGAAGGGAATGTTTGAAAGAATAATAATTATTTACAAAATGTAATTGAAATAAAGCTGAATATCCATGATTTTTTTTTTAATTTTCACACGTAATTTGATTGGAAAATTTAATCATTGAAAATATCTGAATGTATAATGTGATCCGTATCAAACTGTAACAATAACTTAAATATATCCTCAAATTTACTGGGTGGTTTACTGGGGAGATACTGGACCAGTAAAATGTTTGGTGCAACCCAATAAATTTACTGGACAGATAAAATTTAACAGTCTGTTAGTCTAAGAGGCTGTTAAATTCGCCTAACAGGGGTTGGTGTAACCGGGCCTTAGCTCGATAAACGAGAGGTTTGCAAATGCATCGGACATCGAATTCAGTTTCGTATTGTTTATGTATTGAAGAAAAATATTGAAAATAACTTGACAAAAATCGAGTCGCGTTGTGTTCATAATTTTACCTATTTCATGGGGAAATTTTTAGAATTTTGAAATCTACAGTAGCACGAAAAATAATGAATTTCTATTAATCACGGAAAGGGTCGCAGTAGGACAAGCTCTCGGGTCCATATATGTCACATGGACGCCGTACTTGAGGGGTTAATATCTTCTTTAGGCCTTATGCAGTATTTTTGGCCAGTGGGAGGTGTGTAAACCTCGTCGAAGGCGAGTGCTACCCTCCCAAGCATCAAAAAAGAATGTACGAAAAATTAGCTGAAGGAAAAAATAGCCGGTGAGTAGTAACACGCGTCGTGTGTGGCAACCGACAAAATGACCGTTCATTTTCGGTCATTTTTGCCCTCTACCCCTAAAATGACCGATCATTTTGTCGCCTACCACGCACACCACGTGTTACACCCATCGGCTATTTTTTCCTTTGGCTATGTTTTCCGCCTACCGTCAAAAAACACTATTCCCACGAGTATCGAACCCTATTTTTTATCATGATGTGTGGAAAGTGGGATTTTGCGTACGCGGAGCGCGCATAAAATGTCACTTTAGGCACGAGTGATGAAAAATGTCTTTATATAATCTGTAAGAAAACAACATCACAAAGAATGGACTTATACAAATAAATGAGAAATCCATTCAAGCAAATTCACCAGAGGCCGCACCACTATTTTATAATTTATGCTTAAATATTCTAAGTGTACATATGTATTCAAACATCTCGGGCTTGTCACTCATCATCTGCATTATCTGCGAAGAAATTGTATTTACTAAGAAGAATTCTGTGTTATGGTAATTGACCACAGGTGTGTTCGATCAGCATCTTAGTGAGAGAGCCATTCGTTTTTCAGTCATGTACTAGCGGCGACACATCCCGAGTGTTTGTTGCCATCATTTATCAGCGCTGCAGAAAGATTCATATTCATTGTATCGTGAAAATATTCACTTTTGACTTGGCTTCCAAGTTTGTAATAATGCGAAGTAAGAAAAGGAGGTTCCACGGACGTGTAGTGAGTTGCTAGATTTTTCATATACGTGGGATTATATGTGAATCAATTAGGTTTTAATTATTACGTATGGCAGCTAATGTTACTGCGATAGATGACGTCTTACCCAGGTAGGTTTTTCATTTTTAGAAGTGAGTGAATGTAAATATGAACAGAATCAATTACGAATGCGTTATGTAGACAAATGATTGTAGAAGATGGATTCGAAAATTTAGTAGTTCAGTGGTCATTACAAATGAAAGAAATTATTTCGACCGGCGTATTCATATTCTGTATTATCCCCAGGGCTATTTTACTCGGTCAAACCTTAGATGCAAAGGTATAAATTACATGGAAAGCAGGATGCTATATGCTATCTTTCGATTTTCCGAACCTCTATACGAGGAAAACAATCAAATAATTAACAATGCACAAATTAAAAAATTCGGAGGCACACGGACTCAAACTCAGATGGGGTAGGTATGATCCCACTTCTCCAGTTTGCCGGACAGATAGCATATAGCATCCGGCTTTCCATGTAATTTATACCTTAAACAATCTAAGGTTTAACCGAGTAAAATAGCCCTGGGGATAATACAAAGTAGTTGAGTGGTCATTTATGTTGATCTCATCTCATCTTCAGTATTTGCAGGACATCGTGAAGTTCTATGAGGATTTTTTTGTAGAAAAAAATGACCTTTTATAATGAGAAAGTTCGGAGGAAAATACAGAGTCGAAGTATTTACATCTTGAATGCGTCCCGAGCATTTCAAATGAATTCGAACAACAGTTGGCGAGATAAACCAGTAATCAGGCCTCAAATTGAGCATTGAGTCTTATAAAGAAGACACGGTATTATTACAGCAGAAACCCGTAAAAAAATTGTAAATGTTTGCAAACCACCATTTTTTATGCGAAATGAACCGAAATGAAGTTTGGGTTGGTAAAATTTTAGGGATGTCTTTGGAGATTAATTTATCAAAACAAAAATGTTAACAAATTGAAACATTGTTATAAAATTGAAAAATCTGAGATGCTCTGCAGATCCTGCCATAAAATTTTTATCTCGGAAGGCAACAAAACAAGAATTGAACATATTCCAATTCAATTTCTGCCTTTATGTACGTACAGCCTTACAGTCTACGAAAAAATATCCGAAGGAAAAAATAGCCGCCACGCATCGCGTGTGCACTAGCAATCGGCTATTTTTTTCTTCCGCTATTGTTTCCGACTGTGCTACATCCCTCAGTTAACTCAGATCGCTTATTCATTCCACTACGGAATTTAATGAGGGAAGGTGAGGTAAAATGAACCTTCCAGTCATCAATATTCAAATTGGACCGAACGGTATAGTTTGGATGTAGCAGGCCTTATTTCAAAGCCTAAAGGAAGGCTTCTGAAGTTATTGACTGTTCCAGTTATTGAACATTGAGAACAATGCGATTTACCCACCTCGCAAAATATTAGGTCCTTTTCTGTAACCCTTCAAATTTTCTACAAAAAAGCACCCTCGATAAATGTTTCTGAACTTTCTTCCGAATAATATAGGCACGGTGGGGCACAATAGATACGTTTGATTTTTTTTCCATGTTCATAACTTAAAAATAAATTCATCGATTGAGCTCAGTCGAAGCTCCTCATAAAGAAGAAAAGTTTTACTATCTGTGAGAAGAAATATAATCCCCTTTCATTAACAATTCAATAAAACATCTATGCTATCACATTCAAATAAATTTAACAGTTCTACAAATTTATCAAGAGTAAAACAGAATTGGATTGATTAATTCGAGGAGAGAAAAAAATAATGCCATACAATTCAACTAGTGCTAGAAATGAGAAAATTATAGAGCGACAAGTTAAGCAATTGAATTTTTTATAATGATGATAGATCCATTACGACGTAAGAATGACCTCATTTAATTGATAATAATTTAAATAGTCAAAAATTCAATAAAGATGGGAAAATTGCAGTGATATTTTCATATTTCATTAAAATATCAGCAGTTAGAGAAACGAGAATAATGAAAATGCGATTAACATTTTTAAACAACTCAAAAGTTTCCATTTTGCCCCATTCGCCCTCCTCTGCAAAATAATCAGAAAAAATGTATCGGATGCATCTTCGACGACAAACTCACTACCAACGTCATTAAATCCTGTGAATACACCCCCAGAAATGAAACCACTTGTCCAATACCACTTGAAGTGTTGGATTTCCTCCACGATTTCACCCGCCCCGACCTGGACACAATCTGGCCCTGCCAAGTGAGAATCTACTGGTTGAACTTGCAACCTCTCGTGCAAGTAGTCCGTGCACTATTGACATACGTAACACCGTTCATAATAGTTCTGGGTGTCACCCTCAATGTTTTATCATTCGGCATGCTCACCACTCTGGTCCTCTGTGATACTGGATTATCACTCTACCTACGTGCACTTGCAATATCAGATAATGGTGCATTGATATTCAATTATGCAGTGAGCATCGCTAGATCCCGCTGGACAGAGGTCAATGCTCTATTTATGGTAATTAGATCGACAGATGGAGGAATAAACGAGTGGAATTACGTGGATTCGTCATTACTCCTCTCTTGTTATTCATTTCTAATTGCAGAATAGTAGATTCTTGTGTGGAATGTACTCGGTGACAATGGAGTTCTTTCAGATAACATCAACGTGGCTCGTCGTGTCGTTAACTTGGGCCAGGGTTGGAGCTGTTATTTTTCCACTGCGAAGCAGAAATAAACATCACCATCGATCTGTTATCATCACTATTATTACCGTCATCTGCATCAGTTTTACCGTTTCGCTAACGAAATTGTTTTCCGGAGGTGAGATGGACGTTCGATTAGGATATCAAATCGAGGATTTCTCGGTTTTTTAAAATCATTAGCGAGAATTTATTGGATAAAAATGAGATGTTTTATTGACAGAATTTGATATGGAATGATAAAAACTTTAATGTGATTTTTATGAACAGGATATGAGTCAGATAGTGTTTTCGAGTTCATTCCGTGTCAACAAGTGGCAACGCCCTGGGGCAGCTCGATGTATGTGTACATCGCTTTTTCCACTTGGTTACCCTCATTGTTTATCTTCTTGGGGAATGTTTTGCTTATTATTCATATGAGGAAGTCGGATTTAATACGAATTCAGCTGACCCGTAAGTAATGAAGAGGCGGGGGTGCGTGAATTTGGTATTTTTATTATTTGTTATTTTCATATGAGGTATTCCCTGTCAAATGAGTCAACCGCTGACCCTCACCCTCTTGGAAATTGACCTCGATTTGTTCAACGATTGGGGGGCTGGAAAAACTATCTCAATTTTTTCGACAGCCCACTTTGGAGATATGATTCTTTGTTTTTTTCGTTTTTTTTCAATGACTCGGGTTCTATTAATCCGATTTCGATTTATGACATGGCAAAATTTTAGATTTTTTGCCATCTATAAGAATATTTTGAGTAATTTTTTTTTCAATCCCTAGATGCACATAATACTGAATTTTCAAAAAAAAACCTGAAAAACTTGAATTTCCAAAATTATGTCATATTTTATTTTTCTCGTCTTTTGTTCAGTAATTCTTGTAATCAAAACATATATTTCGAGCCGTCATCCAAGTTGCGTTTCGTCCTACATCTACTTTATTTTCAGTTTTTTCTGCTCGAAATTCTACGAATTTGGTCAACACACCCAAAATGACGTTGACTTTGATTATAAACAGTATGAAGTGAATTTAAATGTATACCATTAAATGTATACTATTAATTGTAGGTATGTTTTAATGTATGTATGTATGTGTGTGTTTAAATTTGTATTATATGTTACACATTTTTTCAATACATAATCGAAGTCGTTTTGGGGTGTTTTGACCAGATTTGCGGAATTTCAAGAAGAAAAAGTTAAAAATAAAGTATATCCAGGACGATACCGAACTTGTATGACGGCTCAAAATACTTGTTTTGATTATAAGAGTAACTGAAAAAAAGATGAGAAAAATAAAAAGTGAGATAATTTTGAAAATTCAAGTTTTTCATAATTTTTTTTGAAAATTCGGTAATATGACCACCTAGGGATTGAAAAAGAAAATTACCCAAAATCTTCTTATAAATGGCAGAAAATCGAAAATTTTGACCTGCAATAAATAAAAATCGGCTGAATAGATCCCGAGTTATTGAAAAAAAAAAAAACGAAAAAACAAAGAAAAAATCATATCTCCGAAGTGGGCTGTCGAAAAAATCTGAAAAAAATTAAGAGATAGTTTTTCTAGTCTCCAATCATCGAAAACATTGAAATCAATTTGCAAGAGGGTGAGGGTCAGCCGTTGACTCATTTGGCATGGAATACCTCATATATCTTGAGATGAAGGCATCGTTCGTCAAAACGTCTTTTTTAGAGGAAGTTTCACGGGCTAGAAATAAGATCTTTTGACGAATCGATCTAAACTTGTTTCTCGCCAAGATAGTTGAAGAAGCATAATTTCTATGATGCTTTGTTAACTTTTTTATGATGAATAGGAACCACTCGAAATCAGGTGAATTTGGCAAGTCGAACTAGCAAAACTTTGTTCGCTGTTTCCATTGTTTATTTGATTCTACTTTTTCCATTTGGATTTGTGGAGACCCTGGAACTCTACTGGGATGTTATTCTGATAAAATATCCGTCAAAAAATCCTGTAGAAAATGAGCAATACATCAGTTGGTATGAGTTGCAACTTTCCTAATTAGTAGTGAAGTAGATCACAAAACGACACAGAGAAAATTTTATACTTCCAGTATTAAAATACAAATTACTGACCTTCTGGAGAAAAGTCCCCAAGATTCGGTACAAAAACCTGTGTTTTTCAAGTGAGCAAAATTCTTAAATTAAAAATCTTCGAGTTCTTGAACTAAGAATATCCGAAAGAATGAAATCCTGCAATGCTTAAACATGAATTGAATCTATTCATAATTTAATCTATTCATAAGCATGAGTAGATTAATTTGGGAACAGGAAAAATGATTCATTCAAGAAGAATAAGGTTCTTGATTTGAGAGCCTGGATGTTCTTAATTCAAGAACCCCAAGGTTTTTATTTTAAGACCCCAAAAATTCTGAATTTCAGAAGCAAGATTTCCTTTGAAAATGTATTTCAAAATAAGAGAATATGTACCTTAATTTAAACAATTCTACTAGATTCAAGTAAAATAGATTGAAAATTAGAACTTCCTTATCTTATTTTAGGGAAAATAAATGAAAATACCACTTATTTTTAAAATTTTGAAAGAGGCCTGAAATTTAGAGGTTTTTGCTGGAAACTATAAACGTTTTCTCTGCGAAGGTGAGTCAGTTTCACGCCAAGATTAGATATGTTAATTATTATAATTAGATATGTTTTTTACTACTTCACATCTCAATTACTAAATCAAGCATTAAAAACTCATTATCTTGACGTGTTTCATATTCCACTTTTCTTTCAGGCTTCAAGAAAAATTGTTATTAAAATGGTGCAGAGGTTTTTTCTTCAACATTTACCACTGGAACTTCGTCATAAATTTCTTCCTATATTATTTAACAGGGAAGAAATTTCGCGATCGTGTTCTAAACGCTTTACGAAAGACTAAGAAGATCATCTACGATAGAAATATAGAGCGCTGCAGATCCTGCTGTAAATTCACCCGAAATTTACTACCAATAAGACCAAATATTCTAGTGATACAAGTAATCACAATCACTGAGCCTCGCGTCAGCAACAATGTGTCACTGGAAATTCATAATTTGAGTTTCCAGGAGAGAAACGACACACATTTCTGAGACTGTTTCTACATAAGAAAATAATCATAGCATTTTTCAAATGAATTACAGCTGTAGTATTGAATGAAAACACAGTTACACAGTTCGTCGATTAATTGTTATTAAACGAGATAAAATATCACATTCTACATCAGTATAATATTATAAGATGTAAATTATTATCATTTTTTCACACTTTTCTTTAAATTTTCTGATATAAATATATACTTGGTAAACGAGTATACCCAGAGGAAAAAAATTTGATATAAAGAGAATTGTAATTTGGTCCCAATAATGATTATATCTATCCTGATATTTCAAGCAAATAATACTGAAATTGAACGAGAGAAAAACAACTACGTGAATTTTACAAATTTAATTACAAAAGCCTCGTTACACCCAGCAGAATAAGGCAAAATTCAAAAACATTTCCTAGCACCCTTTTTACACTTAATATTCAGGTATGAAATTAATTATACGGAGTTATGTACAGGATCAATCTTGACAATGAATACCTAAATTAGTGATAATTATTGTTTTTATATAAATTAAATTATGCAAAATGATACAATTTTATATCTCATTATTTTCATCATCATTACTCTGGTCCATAAATTTATGAGACACAATTTATCGGAGACTGTTGTTAATTTTGCATTCGTCTCCGGAAAAAATGTTTTTAGGAAGAATCACTGGCGGAAAATGTCTGAATATTTCCTCTTAAAATCCATTATTATTTAGCATCAATTTCACATTAAACAAAACGGGAATAATTAACTCGCTCTGTTCAGTTAAGCTCTCTGAGCGTAGAATTTTCAATGACGGCATCATGACTATTCAATTATAAGTACCTCAATCAAGCCAAAGAATATATTTTCTCATGAATTATTGTACCAGAGTGTCAGGCCCTAATATTTCCGGTAACTTCCATACGAAAACACATTCTCATTCGTCAATAACCGAATACAAGGATAAAAGAATGAATAAACATGGATTAATACGCTTGACACAAGTCACACACGCTTCACGTGTATTTACAAAACAGTTAATTCAACAGGGAGTGAACAATGTAGCAATCATAACGGAGTTCTTCGTGACAATAGAAATAAAATAACTCGCTCTAGACTCAAATACTTCGTTTGTACAATTGATTCTAATCAACCATTTCTCAATAAGCCGCAGAAAAAATAAGGAAAAAGCACACACCACTCGTTGATTTTTTATCACCACTTTTTTCTGGTCTATGAAAAAGGCGAATGATTGGGGAATAGAATCGATCACGCTCAATTTACTCCTTATAAATATTACCACTTTGAAATTCATAAAGAATATTCTTTGGGCAGTGTTCACTACAATCAATAAGTCCTCGGGGAGGGGAGGGATTCTATTATATCGAACGCTCAGAGAGTATTTCATGGGAATAAAATTCACTATCCTAAGTTTTAGCAAAAATATATACATCTTATGATTTTCTTAAGCTATTTGATTTTGTTTTCAAGTACTTTCAGTGAGTCATTGCGATGACTGTACTAAAGTGGCAAAACATGAGTCGATATATCACGTCTTGATAGTAATGAAATTAGTATCCTAGTAATGATTCATCAAAATTTTTCTAGCTAGAATTGTCCATTATCGGCATAGTTCCATAATTGTCACAGACGGTATGTTCAATCTATCATATTTTACTCCTTCAACACAGAATTAATGGGTACAGATGGATTATGTTTCGTTTTCGTAATGATTAGAACTGGCTCAAGAGCTTGGAGAATATTTGGGTAGATTGTGAGGCACTCGATTCACATAATTCGCAGGAAATTGTCCTCTCTTACCTTTGTATTCACCATATAACCACTCGTCTGATATTCTCGATAAAACATTGATTTTCACTCCTTCCTGAAAATGATAAGAGAAAGAAAAACAATGAGAAACAGAATTTTCGCAAGTCCATGGGAGAATAAAATCAGAATGATTAGGCCTGGAATTTTTCCATTAAGGATATCCAAGTATCTTTTACAGTTGGATATAGACCACACTATATATTCAATCATTTCAATCATCAAAATACTCAATTAAATTGCGTGAAAAAAGTTTGAAAAAACGTAGGAATACCTAGCGTCATTCAAATTACATTTTGCACATAATTAGTATTTTTTTAAACATTCATTGTTTATAAATAAATAATTGAAATTGTTTAAACTGCCGGTAACCTTGTTTTGAGGCATGGAATTCATTTCTGGTAAATATGTATTACGGAATCGTAATAATTACGATTCCGAACATATGATTTTTATGGTGGAAAATTGATTGTTCATAAAATATTTATAGAAAATGGTCGTCACTTTCAAAATTTTCAAAGTTTGAATTACTTCATCAATCTTTCCCTAAGAGTAAACTTTCTATTTTTTTCAGATTTTTAAAATGTTTTCTAACGGTTCAATATTAAGATTCAAATTCAGACCTACAGAGTTTAAATAATAAAATCATTGTAAAATTTTCGGAAACTTTGGGTTAAATGAGGCTCAAATGAAAGCTCTGATGTTCGACTGCAAAAGTAGCAAAGCATTTTACTGAAGAAAAAATAGTCAAAGTACTTGGATATCCTTAATTGTCTTATCTATGCAAACGAAATTCACGATGAAATTATCACAACATGAAAAATGTATTCACCTCGAAAGGAAGATCATCCCACGTTTCTCCAGGGAATGCATACAAAGCGGTGACAACATTTGTTGCAACCCCAGGTAATGGAACAATAATATCAACAAAGTTGGCTGGAAACATTCCAATCCTATTTCCAACTTGACCTTCTAGCCATTCATCATTAATCTGCCTTTTCAAGATAACAACGTCACCCTCCTTCAGTGGTAGGTCGTCAGGCTGCGTTACGGGGAAATCGTACAACGCAATTCCATGCGGCTGCTTCTTATACTAAACAATTGATTTAAAAATAAATTTAAAGGCATGGCATCAAACTTATCCCAGCTGTTCTGATACGAATCGAGGGAATGCCTGAGTAAATTGAACTGAAGGTTTTTGATTTTTGCATTCGGATGGAACCTTTGTATAGTTGATTTTTACGATCTTCTAATTTTGCCAGGAAATGATGAAGAAAATCATGAAACGTGATGATACGATGTCTTTAGAAAATGTGGATAGGTGTGTCTGTATGTATGTGCAAATTTGTAGAATTTTTTGTATAAATCTTTACAAAAACAAGCAGGAGTTCGAGTATATGCGGCGGAAGGCTTGTGACCGTTACTTGTTGCGTTATTAGAATTTTTGTTGTTTTTTTTTATTTCAACTAATTCCATTGGTGGCAAGCTTCCGAATGGATTTGTAGAAATTTTTGGTATCTGTGACAGGCGTCCAACTTTGAAAAGTTCCACATCACTTAAAAATTCATATACCATAAAATTGAAATACTTTAAAATCGATACACTGTGAACAATCAGCATTTATATATCTGTCTATTCATTCTTTATTAATTTTAGTCCCCGCTGTTCTGATACGAATCGAGGGAATTCCTGAGTGAATTGAACTCAAGGTTTTCGATTTTTGCTTTCGGGAAGATTTATAATTGTGGATTTTAACGGTCTTCTAATTTTGCCTGGACATGAAGAATATCATGAAACGTGAAGATGGGATGTTTTTAGCAAATGTATGTATGTCTTGTACGGGCATATTTTTAGCATTGTTGTATAAATCTTAACAGAAACAAACAGGAGTTCGAGTCTATCCGATGAAAGGCATGCGACCGTTACTTTTTCCGTTATTATTTTTGTTTTTTTTTATTTTTACCATGTCCATTGACAGCAATCTTCCCAATGGATCCGCAGCAATTCCCTGTCTCTGTGACAACTTTAACCACATCACTTAAAAATTCATATAACATAAAATCACAATACCTTAAAATCGATAAACTGTAAAAAATGAACATTTGTATTTCGATTCCAAACATATCCTTTCTATTTCTTTTTTATTAATTTTGTTAATCAACCCTTTACGGAACATCACGGTACACAATTTCCATCTTCTAATAGTTAGTTCTCGGTATCTCAAGGACTATTTCACTGAACTAAATTTTTTCAACATCCAAATATCTTTATGCTAATATGTAGCGAATAAAATCAGAAATTTCAACAGAAATTGCTATTTTTCAATTTAAAAAAGAATTAAAGAAGAAAAAAGAATCTACCAATAGAATTGATAGATAAAAGAAAAACTCATTACGCATAAAGTCACGGTCACATGTTTTCAGTCGGATAAGCTCGATCCTTTGCTTGTCTAATCTTCCTTTGAACTATTGAAATTAAGAGGCAATGGAACTTACCATCAGAGTAGAAACTGGATTCCAAGTTTATTCGTCGTCAGACGACTGTTTATCAAAACCCGAATTCTTAAACTATAGATACCAAGATTATTGATGATGTAAAAATTTGGGTTTCGCAAAATAGTTGTCTGACGACGAAAAAACTTGGAATCAAGTTTCTACTCCGATGGTAAGTTCCATTGCCTCTTAAGGACGTATTGTACACCTCCAGCCAATTTTCACGTTTTTTGGGTTGATGCGAAAAAATTTGAAGTGAATGTGTCAGTGCCTGTCTCTGGCTCATTCAACGTATTTCCTGAGTGCCCATAAAGTGCCTTGAATACCCATGACGCATATTGCTAATTTATCATCAAAAATATCTATATTGTATGCAATAAAAGAGCAATTTCCCATTTGTTTATTTTCAATTAGAAATTGTCCATTTCCTTCCACTTTCCTAATAGTATATTACGTGCTAAGGCGGAGAAGTGCTGAATTCAACGCTGGTGGAGTACAGGCGCACGAGGCACGTGAGTCGGAGTCTCCGGAGTCTCCGACTCGTCTCCGACTCACGTGCCTCGTGCGCCTGTACTCCACCAGCGTTGAATTCAGCACTTCTCCGCCTTAGCACGTAATATACTATTAGGAAAGTGGAAGGAAATGGACAATTTCTAATTGAAAATAAACAAATGGGAAATTGCTCTTTTATTGCATACAATATAGATATTTTTGATGATAAATTAGCAATATGCGTCATGGGTATTCAAGGCACTTTATGGGCACTCAGGAAATACGTTGAATGAGCCAGAGACAGGCACTGACACATTCACTTCAAATTTTTTCGCATCAACCCAAAAAACGTGAAAATTGGCTGGAGGTGTACAATACGTCCTTAAGAGGCAATGGAACTTACCATCGGAGTAGAAACTTGATTCCAAGTTTTTTCGTCGTCAGACAACTATTTTGCGAAACCCAAATTTTTACATCATCAATAATCTTGGTATCTATAGTTTAAGAATTCGGGTTTTGATAAACAGTCGTCTGACGACGAATAAACTTGGAATCCAGTTTCTACTCTGATGGTAAGTTCCATTGCCTCTTAATTTCAATAGTTCAAAGGAAGATTAGACAAGCAAAGGATCGAGCTTATCCGACTGAAAACATGTGACCGTGACTTTATGCGTAATGAGTTTTTCTTTTATCTATCAATTCTATTGGTAGATTCTTTTTTCTTCTTTAATTCTTTTTTAAATTGAAAAATAGCAATTTCTGTTGAAATTTCTGATTTTATTCGCTACATATTAGCATAAAGATATTTGGATGTTGAAAAAATTTAGTTCAGTGAAATAGTCCTTGAGATACCGAGAACTAACTATTAGAAGATGGAAATTGTGTACCGTGATGTTCCGTAAAGGGTTGATTAACAAAATTAATAAAAAAGAAATAGAAAGGATATGTTTGGAATCGAAATACAAATGTTCATTTTTTACAGTTTATCGATTTTAAGGTATTGTGATTTTATGTTATATGAATTTTTAAGTGATGTGGTTAAAGTTGTCACAGAGACAGGGAATTGCTGCGGATCCNCCTTTATATCAAAGGTAAATTCAAAGTCTTGAAAATTTCAAAATTTACCCATCACTTTTATGACTTCATTCAATGAATTCTTTCAACACAAACTCTCAAAACATTATTATCAAAGCTGGGAAAATTTTCCATAAAAAAACCCCAACAAATTCTTCGGAAGTCACGCATCCTCGAGATTAACGCACAATCATGAAGACTTTCGCTTTTTAAACATAACAATTGAAATAAATCAACGTATAAGCACGTACCACAGGTTCTCCCACCTCACTCAGATACTCAGCTGGAGGTGCTGGAGGTGGAATGGATGGCATAGGTGGCGAGGGATTGGTCCTCTCACAATTCTCCTCAAAGCTGTTGGACCAAAAACTCTCCCCGAAGGCTTCTGAACCCCCACTCCCACCATTCGCAACGAAATTCGTGACAGTGGGTGCTAAACTAGTGGGTAAAATCTTAGGCGCTGGTGGCTTTGGAGGTCTAGCCCGAATGATGGTGGGCATCGTGGGGACTTGACTTATGGCAGATAAGAATCCCCCTCCAGACGTTTCCCCATTGAAAGCGAAAAAATTGGCATCACCAACTTGTTTGACCCCATTCGTGACCCCTGATACTGGCGAGAAAGGGTCTAAACTGGTCGATGTTTTCCAGGGATCGTGTGTCGATGACTTTGGTTTATTCAAACTACCGAAGAAGTCAAAGTCATCCTCGAAGGCACTCTCGGTCTGCGAAGTGTTTCCACTACTGGTGAATACAGATGGATTCGAATTTCCATCGCTCCCAAAACTGTCGACGCTCACACCATCACTACTGGATCTAGTGGTGAACGTGGGTGATCCCGGGGGACTCAGATCAATCAGAGAAACTCCAGTCTCCAAAAAATTCTGCGGTTGAATTCCTGTGCTTGGTGGTCTACTCTGATTCCCCAGAAATAATGGATTCACTTGCTGCTGTTTTGACGTGTTTTTAAGTCCAAACAAATTTCCCAACAGCTCTGTCGGTCTTGTCTGGTAAAAATAACATGTACCAAAACAACTGTCATATATACTTCCTTCATACGTAACACAAGAATTTCACTTCGTCAATTGATATTCATCATACTCATTACATTGTAATAAATGAGAGGAAGAAAAAGTTTTTCTTCTCCACTTTCCCACAAATTAAAACCCACGTATTGTATTAAAAATATTAAAAACTGGTTTGACTTGAATCATTAAAAGATATGTCACGTAATCCACTGGTGCAAAACAAAGTGAGAGAATCAAGAGATATACCACGAATTCTAAAAATAAAAGCACAAAGAATACAAGTGGTGTACTTACTGGTTTTCTCGACTTATCAATCGCACCCTGTAAATTATCTTTGCGGAAACGAGGAGGTGGAGGCCGCGGTGGTGGTTTTTTTTTCTGGACAGGCTGGGGCATTGTCAGGGGGCCGAATGGATCGCTGGAATGACATTGAGTTATCAAGTGAATATTCCTGTTTGAACTGGATAGATCAGGAGCTGAAGGGTAGGGGAGATGAGTAAATTCAACTCGAGACTGATTTAGGGGCTAATGGGGCACAATTGTTTCCCCTTATGATGAGCCCAGACTGATTTCAATCGATAAACGTATTGCTGAGTAATGAACATTAGAAAACATGTGAGAAATTGCTCTTATAATGTATAGTTATTTTTCCTAATAAATTAACAATATGCTTTCGAATGGTTATTTTGCACATCATTTCCTTCTATCATGTATTCAATGCTTATTTCATTTTATTAAATTGAATGAGATTTCAATTTCATTTTCATTTCCAATTAATTTTGTCAGATTTTTAACATAGGTGAAAGTTATCATCATCATTATTCTTATTATTGCCTTCTTCTATACAACCAATTGGCTTTTTCATAGTTCTGTCTCTCCCCTCAGCCTTCAGATAAAATGTTATTAGAAAAATGTTATTTGCACATAATTAAATGAATTTAAAGCATCACATTTGAAAGTTCACTTTTAGAGAAATACAAGAAAAATTCGAAATGTTCAAAGATCATCGGAAAAATCAAATCAACCAATACAACTATCATAAACATCTATTAACTTCGACTTAATAGCATTAACACAAACATTCCAAGCCATGATTAAATCCATTTGAAGCATCCAAAGATATCCCGGAAATTCTTATTTTCAAAAAATACAGAATTTTTGCAAATTTTCAAATAAATCAAAATAACGATTATTGCTATCGCTTTCATCTTTGAACACGGTCAGAAGGCCATCCAAACAAATTTTTTAAGCCATTATTCAATCGATTCAGAAAATTTTTTTAGTTACCGTTAAAAAAAACACTTAAAAAATTCAAAAAAATTAATAAATGGATTAAATTTTAATCAATGGCGATTGATAGGCTTCAACAATGCCTACATTTGAGGAAAGAAAAGATTAAATTCCATCGATTCATTAGCGAACCATCGAAGAAAAAGTTGTTGACATACGTACGGACACGGTCTAAAAATTGCATTTTCGGACTTTTTGAATTATAATGGGTCAATATAACACGAAAAATCCAAAACTTAAATTTGAACGATTACAATGCAGTAGCGAAGCGGTAAACCGGGCTAAGTCGATTGTAACTATTGGCTAGTTTTTGACGAATATCTCGGAATCTAAAAGAGATGGAAAAAATTTTGTCATGACTTTTTTTGTAGGATCAATTGAGGCTTATAAAAAAGGTGATGAGAAAAATTTTGCTATCTCCCTCAGATTCCGAGATATTCATCAAAAACTGACTAGAAGTCAAAATCGACTTAACCCGGTTTACCGCTTCGCTACTGAATGCTACTCTCCATTCGGAAGCAAAAAGTAAAAAGTGTCCATTTTCTCACACCCTCCCCTATTCATGAATTTGCATTCGAAGGAGATGAAACAATTTTCGCATATGCAGAGCTGCAAAAAAACCTGGAATGATTCCTTCATCTCTTTCGGACTGCAAGACATTCAGCAAAATCGAATGTTAAAGTTGAATTGACTTATCTCGTGTCGCGACGTTCAGTCGACGAACAATGGATGGAAAAGTACATGGAAAAATACTCAAAAATATAATTAAAAAATATGAGAACAATTACCTATTGCTCCACGCCATGCTCCGCTGTCCCAGCTGTCCAGGTGGTTTGGGAGCTGCTCTCGTTGGAATAGGCATCTCTGGAGAGAAAAAATTCAATTGACAGTTTGTATACTAGTCTGACAGGAAATTCAGCATGAATGCAAGTTGCGTTTTTGCATTGACACGAGCGTCAATCGCCTGACACTGAGCAGTACCGAGCGTCACGAACATCGCACACGTACAAAAATCACAAATGCCTCGTGAAGAAAGAGAAGAACAACAAATAGTGAGAGGAAGACAGACGCTTCACGTATATATATCAACTTCTGACGCATCCGGTAATTGCGTATTCCGACCGATAAAGTTCGGATTCGAGAGTAACCGATACGAGTTAAAAAAAATTGTATCCGATAACAGATGTAGTATCTAAAATTGCCGTTACGCCCATTTTTAAAAAGCCAGAAACATGTTCTGGCTGATTTTTAATCAATCGCAGGCATTTACCACCACCCAATGGTGCCATGAAACTACAGCAAGAGATATTGCGACTCTGCACAAATCTATGTACTTGTTTTAACACTTGACATTAACGTGTTATTTATAAATGTATAGTTGTTCTTCTAGGGTGCATTGTGCGAAAATTAAACGTACCATTATTTTTCGAACGAATTCCACGCAACATGTTCACTGGTGTTACTGATCAAAGTGAATGCTATGACCTAGGATTATTCACATGACGCATTTTTCTCGGGTACACTGTACACTGGATGGATGTTGTAACCGTTTTTTAAATCCACTCACAACCTGCAAGGTGATATTCGAGGAGTCTCACCTGTCCGTATGTGTGTGGCCATTTTCTTTTGAATTCAGCAGTGGCTTTTCCCTGTCGATAAAGCAGATACTTTTCTTTTTTGGTTTTGACAATTTGAAAAAGCGTGGAAAAAAATTAGATAAATTTTTTGACTATTTTTTATGGCATTTTTGTCCATGAAGTGTATTTGGAAATGTTTCTGGTGGATGTGAGATTGTTTCAGGGAGAAATTGGACTTTTCTTGAGGGGATTTTGAGAAGTGATTTTTTTTTCAATGGAGTCGCACGTCTCGGGAGTGTTTTATCCCGGTGTGGAGGAATCCAGCGCCACCAGTCCGGGCCACACACTTCGGAGGTCTACGAAATATAATTCGTTGCACGACTTGGCGCGAGAACCCACGAGAGAACACGGTTAGCAAGCTTGAGGAAGGATTTTTAAGTGCCAACACGTTGATTGTTTAATAAATAGATTATATATTTTTAAATCAACAAGGGATCATCATCAGCCAAGATGTTTTGGGGTGAGTTTGTTGATTGAATTTGGAAATAATCAGGCGTGAGGGAGGACAAAAACGTGCCGGTACACGTTCAGAATGGCGTCCCCATGTGGTCACAACAAAATTAGGATAATCTTTAATGGCGAATTGAGGATTATTGTCCTCGATTATTTGGTGCTGGGGGTAATCGAATTGTTCTTGTTTTGCAGGACTTATCATCGAACCTAACAAGAGGTATACCCAGACTGTTGAGAAGCCATTCCACGTGTCCATGGCGACTCTGGATGTTTCAACTGCCGGTAAGCAAACCTTATCTATTTTTATGACCATTTTAGCAATTCTTCGAAATCATCTGCTTTCTTTGAGCTCCCCAATTCTTGAGGAAAATGGGGGAGGGTGGGGCAAAATGGACTCTCTTGATTTTGTGTAAATATTCATAATTCAGGAACAGATTCATCAATTGAGCTCAGTCTAGACCCATCATAGGGGGGAAGAGGCGTACTTGCCATGAAAAAAGAAAATCATGTTTCATTGGAAATTAAATGATTCATTAAGATCTAAAAAAAATAAAAGTATCGTTGGGGGTCTACCTACATTCAACTCTAAATTATAATTTTTACTTCCTATTATTTTTGTTCAACTTTGTGCAGATAAATTATGAATTGAGGTAATTCTATTTCATCCCTAGACTTTTTTTGTCTCATAATCTAATGGAGATAACACTGACAAAAAAGTTTCTAGTTGTTCAGTAAAAATCTCTGGATTTCAGAACTCTATTGTACTGAAATCTAGAGGACAAAAAATCCTGGATCTAATTGAAATTTTCAATTATTTTCCACCGATTTTCTATAAAAATCAGAAAAAGTTCTAATTTTCAGTAATTTTTACAGAATCTAGTATAATTGTACTTGAATTAAGATACCTTTCTTCTTATTTTAAACCAATTTTGGTTTTTAAATTGAGAACATTTGGGTTTTTATAGGAACCTGGGGTTTCTTAAATTAATCCACTGATGTTTCAATTTTCTTTAATATTTTTTAAATTTCTTATTCTATTTCAAAGTTATGGAAAGTATATCATCTTGTTTGAATTACTATTAAATTATTTTGAATTTATGTTTTTAATTTTGTCTGCTTGAAATGTTTTGAGGGCGAGAATGCAAAGATTCTCAATTTAAGAGACTTTTTTCACTTGAAATTTTTTAGGGATATTTCCACTAGAATCAAGTAACCAGTTTCTTATTTGCAGCGCTGTCTTCAAGAACAGCTTTTTTAAAATTCACTTTCTTGGTTCTAGAAACTATAAAATTTGTTCTCTGCAAGTGAAATTTCTATGAGAATCTTTTTTATAACCCATAATTTCCATTATAAAAAGAAAGTAAATGAAAATCTGGTTGTCCCCATCGATGGCCAGATGTATAAAAAAACCTAATTTTGAAGTAAAATCGTATGAACATGATTTACATCTACAATTTTTATACTGATTCAATGTACCATTTTTCTTAACCCTATCGTACAAATTTCAGATGATGATATCGTCCAAGTAATGTTGTGCTACGACAATCGGAACTACCTTCTCTGCAACTTGAAGAAGGGCCACGTATGGCAGGTTCCCCTTGACTTGAACTTCCAGGAAGGCACAAAAATAGCATTCACGTCAAACGGTCGTGGTCACGTACACCTGACAGGTTACCTGGTTCCAGACGATGGTATGGACGATCTGGACGAGCTCGACGAGGAGGACGAGGAAGAGGAGGAGGAAGACGAAGAGGTTCCCCAATTAGTTGGCAAACGTAAAGCCAAGAATTCTCCACAGGACGGAAAATCAGCGAAGAGACTGAAGGAATCGGTGAAGGAAGTCACTGAAGAGGAGGATGTCTCATCAGACGATGACGGTCTTCTGGATGGTATGATGGCGGGTGATGACTCTGAGGACGATGATGATGATGATGATGAGGCTGAGGATGAAGACGAGGACGACGACGATGACGATGATGATGAGAGCGCTGAGGAAGAGGAAGAGGAGGAAGAGGAGGTGAAGCCACAGAAGAAGGGGAAGCAGAACAAATCTCAGCAGCAGGACCAATCTCAGAAGCAGGACCAGTCCCAGAAGCAACAAAAGAAGAAAAAGAAAGAGGAGAACGCACAGCAGGAGCAGAAACAGGCAAGGGCACTCGTCAATGGAAAGGACAAGAAGGCTGAGAAGAAGGGGAAGGATGTACAGAATGACTCACAGGTCCAGAAAAAAAGAACCATAACTGGTGGAGTCCAAGTCGAGGAGTTGAAGGTGGGCCACGGTGTACCTGCCAAGCCTGGAAAGTTCGTGTCAGTCTACTACATTGGAAGACTTCCCAATGGAAAGAAATTTGACGCCACACTGCAGGGAGATGGATTTAAATTCAGACTGGGGAAGGGAGAGGTCATCAAGGGATGGGACGTGGGGGTTCAGGGAATGAAGGTCGGAGGTAAACGACGACTTACAATACCAGCTCACATGGCCTATGGAGCCAAAGGATCCCCTCCAACCATCCCTAGCAACAGCTCACTCATCTTCGAGATAGAGCTCAAGCAAGTTCATTAGGAGATAGTAGTGTACGATCATTTTTCAGATGGAACAATATCTACATTCCTCATCGTCTGTTTCGTGCCATGGGTCAATCATTTAGAAATAGTCCCTTGTGATTTTTTTATACCCAGTACTATGAATGTGCTCTTTGATTATTCGACAGTTGAGACCCGTCCTTCATGTGTATTATTACTTTTTTTTTATTTGCATTGGATTTTATGTTGAAACTTTGTCAAGAAGTGCTTTAGATGCTGAATCTGGGGTTCAAGTGCATGTTATTCTTTTGATTTGATATGTGGAGACACGAAATGATGGAAAATCTTGAACATGTTCGGGGGATAACGTTGACTATAATGTAAAGTTTTCATTACTTCAATAAATAAATTTGATCTATATTTCTGGGAGTCTTATTATTTACTTCTTCATGGAATGATAGGATAATGTAACTTTGGTGAAATTTTTAACTTGAATAGTCTTGTTTAAATAATTTATGAGATGAATATTCTTTTTTTTCTGTCTACATTTCTCATCTGTGATGTTTCAAATTCATTCAAATATGTATAAATAACATTTTTCTAATAACATTTTGTCGAAGGGCTGAGGGGAGAGATAGAACTATGAAAAAGATGATTAGTTACATAAAAGAGAGGGATAATAAGGACAATGATGATAATAAAATACAACCAAGTTGAAAATCTGACAAAATTAGTTGAAAAGAAATCGTATTCAATTTAATAAAACGAAATAAATAGTGAATTATACCTGATAGAAAGAAATGATGTGCAAAATAACCATTCGGAAGCATATTGCTAATTTAATAGCAAAAATAACTATACCCCTAATGAATCGAACCCAGAGTTGACTGTGGGTTATGTCCACGAACCCAGAGTCAACTCTGGGTTTGATTCATCAGAGACTGTATGCAATACAAGAGCAATTTCCCACTTTTTTTGCATTTAATTTGATTTTGAAACTGGAAAAGAGTTCTTCACACCCTGCTGGATTTGATGAGTGGAGATGCGAAATGATTGTGAATATTGAATTTCAGGCAACAACGCGGACTATAAAGTAAAGATTTCATCCTTTCAATAAATAAAATTGATCTGTATTTCTAAGATTTTAATAAATTATTGATTTGTGGAATGATAGTTTAAAATTTCCAACTTGAATAATTTTGTTAAAATATTTTATGAGAATAAATTAATCGACTTTCTCTGTTTTCGATGAATTGTCTTCTTTTGGTTTTTTCGCCCAAGATAACGTGCACACTCCGTTCTCACATTTTTTCACTGGTTGTGGCGGTCCCTCTTGCTCATTATCTTGCCCTTTCTTTTTGTACCACAATTTCATCAGAACAGGCTGAATGAGAAACCTCCAGATTATGAGAAAAATCGGGACGAAAATACACGGTACACACACCATGATCAATGACTAAATTTCCTAGACTAAAAATAACATTTCTTTAATTTTTTCGTAATTTTTCTATAGAAAGGAGTAAAGATATTTTGATATTTAAAGGTTATACTCCACCTTCCGTATCAGCTGCTCACGAGTAAATATCCGCTGACGCATGGCCTAGCCCAAGGAGTGGGAGAGTGGAGGGGAGTTTAAATCTGTGGGAATTCCCTGCTCTTTGGTGTAGTGACTCAAGGCATGATTGACTAATTACAAGTGAAAGTGATGAAGTTATGTCAATTGAAAAGTCACTAATGTGTTAATTATTATAATCTCTGTCTACGGAGAAAATAGAAGTCATTTCCTTGATCAATCTTTTAATAATATTGTCGTTTGCGCGTCTTACATATTTTATCTTTATTAATCTTTATTCAGTAGCAGCGAACGGCAATGAGTTCAAAGGGGGGGGGGGGGAATATTGTCATATTTTTGGATTGCAAAGGTTTAAGGGAAAATTTCGGGGGACCCTTTGGGAATATTCACGCTCTACAAGAATGGTCATTTGTGGTTTTCCTTTGGCAATTTTTAAGGATAATCGGGCGAGGAGTAGTATATTCAAAAAATGCAGCCTATTTTATTCTCATTTTTAATTATTTAATTGAATATGCACTTATTTGGGGGATAATTGCATGAATAATAGGGATTTTCGGTCATTTTCAATACTTGTCCCACTGAAAAAAATAATGACCACCGAACTGCGGCAAAAAGCAAACTTCAATTGGCGCCAAAATTCTTTTTATTTTATTGACCATTTTTGGTGAAAATTTCGAATTTTTTAAGAATTAGCTTTTTTAGTGATTACCGATTGAAAAAAAACGTTTTCTCGTATAGACCCCGACAAAATGAAGATAATGCTATGACGACTTATTTTGAAGGGGTTTTCATATTTTTTGAGTATTTCAAAGGGCGATTTGATACCGTGAAGCCCCGCTGAAATATTGAGGCTAATTTTCAAAAAATCATAACTCCGTAGATTATCAATATTTTTCAATTTTTCTTTGTGCAAAATTTTTATCCAACCTCCATTTTCTCAGAAAAAAATTGGAGACAAAAATCTCCAGCATCGATTTTATTGGTTTGCTGATTTGGCGTGGATCTGCTCATATGCATAGCTCTGTTATGCCCCAGATCTGGTCAATTGCGTTATTGTTTAATATGTGGACATTAGGATGGCTCATATGTAAAAAAAATTGAATTTCATAATTTTCGTGTTTGATAAAGATAACCAATGACATGGAAAGTACATGTGAATTTTTTCAAAATTTTTGAATCATTTTTCAAGGTTGCGCCGTGTAGTTTTATTTCTTATGGACTTTTACACGCATCGTAGAGATCGAATGTGTCAATAATTTTTTAAAGACTCAATTATTACATCCCTCGGTNAAAAATTTTCTTCCCCACCAATCGAATTCTGAAAAAAATGCGAAAGATAATTCCTAAATTTCCAGTAAAGACAGGTGTCCGGCTCATGCGGTGCTTTTACAACGGTCGTAAACACAGAAATTGAGCCTAGGCAAAAAATTTGACCTGCCGAACTAACCTGCGCTGGGAAGGGACTGAACTCGCATCGTAGAGCTGCTTTAAAATTTAGCTAAAATTTTGTATATAGTTTTCATGTTTTCGGATGATGCATTCATGAAAAAACGATAAGAACAGAGGAAAACCTTCTATGATGACTGTAGTGCGTCAGTAATACGCTTCAGGCGGCAGAAGGGGGCAAGGAAAATCCACGATAATGTCAGGGAGTGGTGGAAGAGGGGATTCCATTCATTAGGCCAGAAAAATTGTTCTTCAATATTTCATGTATCAAGTTTTTAATAACTTCTTTTTCTTCGGTTTTTTGTATTTTTTACTCTTTGATTATTTTTGATATATTGAGAATTTTATATTTCCCATATATTTGAAAGAGGTGTCAACTACATTTGTAACAAAAAAGGCATTAAACAAACCTAACTTAATCCGAAGAAATCCTGGGAGCGTTTATTCAACTCAGAAGGTTAATTATGCTTATTTCCTTCAACTCTATTTTATATCATTATTTTTCGAAACATTTTAATTAATTTCATACATCCTTCAGATTGAAAAAATATATTTTGCCCATGAGGACTATCCAATTCTCAATATATCGATAATAATCAAAGACTAAAGAACATAAAAAAAAACAATTACCTAGGTGACTCACCCGAACCCTCACTCGGAGCCATATTTACTACCTGACACGGGCGTATCATTGAGGATATTTAACTTCTACCCAAGTTTTATGACCTCTACTGCCAGTAGGTCAAAAATGTCAGTCAAATTTTAAACACACGGCGCAACCATCAAAATGCAGTTTAAAAATATGAAAAAATTCACAGGGGTATTTTATTAACTGAAGAATCATTTTTTGAGACAAAATCGGAAATATTCAGGAATACCCGTAAAATGAGGCACCCTAGTGTGTATCGTNGGCCACCCTAGTGGACATACAGCATTGTCAGCGTGACACTTGCCAGCGTAACTGGATTATGCTGACCAAGTGATGAAATGTAAACAATCAATGTATTATTTAAGAGACGATTGGGTCTGCACAGAACAGACCTGAATTGGACTCCGACGCGTACAAAAGTCGTAAACTCTTTGTAATCAGTCAGATGACACAGTAATTATAATCATGTAATAAATTCTCATATTTAAATACCGATAAACCATTGGTGGGATTTATCCCTTTAAGCCTAGAACCTACTATAATTATAAGTACCCCCCACGCTGGGTACAACAGCTCCAATAACGCAAAAGCGGGCGCTTTCCGTGGGGACGCCCACATATGATGGTATATGTTCAGAAGCGGAAAAAATGATGACTGCAATCCATGTTGCTCCGTGAATCAACGAAAAACACTAATTTTTACCTTTTAACGCTAGATTGGTCACCCTATGAGGGGAACCTAGCCCACTTTTTTTTCTTTAACCCTAGTCTGGTCATCGAACGCGATCCTGTGACTAGTACACTGTCCGGGCGCATTTAGCGAGTTGCCAGCAACGTCGCGTCATGGGCAGTTTCATTTAACATGGGAAAAAATAATTCACCTGTCCGAAATAATTTGTTTTCTTTAGGAATCTTGGGAAATATGACAAAGTCATTTTTTTACATTTTTCCGGTTAGCCAGTCAATTCTAATTTTTAAAAAACGACGCGCGGCGGGGTTTCCCTTATAGGGTGACCAATCTAGGGTTAATTACAATTGACTGGCTAACCGGAAAAATTCAAAAAATTTCACTTGGTCAATTGAAGTGTTTAAAAAATTATAGTAGTTTTTAAAACAACATATTTCCCGAAATTCCCTCAGAAAACTCATTTTGGACAGATGAATTATTTTTTCCGATGTTGAATAAAATTGCCCGTGACGCGATGGGAGTTTAGCGAGTTTAGCGAGTTCGGGTTTAGCGAGTTTTTGGCAACGGCCAAAAACTCGCTAAACGCGCCCGGGCAGTGTAGAGTGAATTCGACAACGCTAAAGCCTAATGACACGGCGGCGAATCCCTGCGGAGGTGACCAAGTCGCAGGGTCGCGTTTGGTGACCAGACTAGGGTTAAATCATCCAAGTGTCGCTTGTTATCCGATTGACAATTGTTTTTTCAAAATGTTCGTTAGTGTACAATGAACAAAGGTATGCATTCCGAATTCTCAAAAGTTCCAATAATTTTTATTGTCATATGAACCAGACAGTTCCGTTGGATAGCCAGAACATTTATTGATTTGTCAGCAACGACACATATGGAACTTTCATGCAAATTAGGCGTAACTAATTCCATTTTTTTCACTTCAAATGTCAGGAGTAATTTTCTGATACTTATAATTCAGTAACGGAGAAGTATAATCACACTGAATCAGATTGTTTGCCCAGAAAAATTGGAAAATATATTGTCGGGAAAGAATTATTTCCAAGAAACTGCTTCCATGACCTTAAATATGAAACAAATAATTGAAAATAACTGCGCAAACAGATTTCTTTTCTTTTATGAAAAATATACGGGCCGAAAATAAACCGAACAATAGCCATCCCACAATTAATTAGTGAAACTCTCATGCTCTTGGGAACACACATATGTATGTAAATATTTTTTCAAACAGCTGGAATTAATTTTCAGGAAATTTATTTTGATAAATTCTTTTTTCAAGTTATTTTTATTTACTGTATTTACTACGCACTGTATTTTTATGCCGTATTTTTCGCTTGGTAAGTAAAGTCTCTATAGATGAAATTTCGCTATTTCCCTCATATTCCGAGATATCCCATGGAAACTGATAGTCAGCTGAAGTCAACTCAAACCGGTTTACCTCCTTGCTGTGAGATTGTGAAATAATGTTCATGAAAATATTAAAATTACATTAAATAATACAGTTGAGTGGTTTAATAAGTTTCGATATTGAGTTACAATACAATATTACTGAAGATGCGAACGCCATGGTCACAGCCATTATATTGCTTTGCGCGAGTCTTCAACGACCCCCGCACGTGTCTTACCCTAGAACGATTCTTCTACAATTATTATAAACTTCACAAGGTACTGAGAAATACATATGGCTGAAGTATCAGTCAACACAACTGTCTTCTGCGTTTGCGTAATAAGCGGAAAAAGAAACATAATCAATCAGAAAACCCGTACTAGGGATGTCGCACTAACGACATTATACTTCAAGGAGAGAAATTCTTTAGAAAAAGTTTAGTGTTAGCGCGGGAAAGGGGGGGCAAAGTTACAGTAAGAAAAATTTTCCTGTGCTGACACTGGAAATTTCATTGGGTAGAACGTGAATTTTTATCGCATTGACATAAAATTTCCACAGAAATCGCAAGAAATTTCAATCAAAATCTCTATAAACTTCACACAGAAAAAAACTGAAATTTTACTTTACAGCACTAGTTACTTTACAGCACTAGAATTTTTAACAGCCGGTATATTGTGATTTTTCCTTTACTTGCAGTAGAATTTTTCCAGAAAATTTCCCTCCGCGTTGAGTAGAAAATACATTATTTGATATTCTTGGTTCGCGTCACATGCTTCCAAATATTTTTCGTCCTTTGGTGACGGACATTGAGACGACGATGACACTCAGTATGAAGAAGACTAGCCCGAAGAGAGTGGTGAGGGCACGACACCACCGTCTGCGACGTTTTGCTCGTGCTATAGTACGGCCCAGTCTCTCTGCACGTGCACCATCGAGAGTGAAGTCGAGACTCTTGTTGAATACAGGGATACCTTGATTCCAGGTGGTTTTACTCGGGGGCTCACCTAATGCACCGTAGGATGATGATTCATCGCTTGGGTCAAGCTGAAAAGTGTTGAGATTATTCAATTCAGGGAGGACACGAGATTAGTTAACTCGAGATTAGCTTCTAATCAATGTCCTCGTGTTTGAAGGGGATTGGGCTGGGTTTTCATAGAGGTTTTTTCTGTGGAGGGAGATGGAAGATGGAGAAGAGGGCTTTATAGAAATTTCCTTAGCTGCGTTGGAGCTTAAGATATTTTCTAAAATAAAATAGTTTTAAGGAAACATTGAATTACTGTGTAGGATCAGTCCTATTACTGAATTAATTATAACAGGAATAACAGAATCTTTTGAAAATTACCCCTAGTAATGCGCAGTGCATTGTCCTTTCAGAAACTTTTACGAATGAAGAAAACGTTGAAAATTTGAGCCGAGGAAATTCTATAGAAAATATCTAAAGAGAATAAGTCATATAGAAAAATCGAATTCTATTGACTTTTTCTACTAAATACTTTCTATTGAACATTTCAATAGAATCGGCCAAAAAATAATAGAAAGTTCAACAGAAATCCAATAGAATTTTCTAATGAATTCGCTCCGTTTGTCTATTAAATTCAAATTCTAGTAGAAGATCAAGAAAAACTAGTCAAATTTCAGTAATTTTAGTAATAGTTTTACAAAAACATTGTGATGTTTACAAGAATTATTGAATTTTTTAGAGTTTAAACAAAACTTTCCAAAGGATCACAATATACATAGATACAATAAACTATACAATTATTCAAATTCAAGGGTCATTCCTGATAAATGTTTTTTCAGGGATTTATTGATTTTATGGAATTCAGAACTGAATGGCAGGTACAATAATAAATTGAAAAATAGCGACATGACCGTTATGAAGATGAAACCCACTGATCAATGATTGAGTGGAGACTACTACGAGTTTTAATAGTCGCGGGTTATCTAAATGAGACTTTCCATACATTGAAGATCGACTATATATGTCTAAAAATGAATAATTAGCGCGAAAAAATTAATTGTTTATTGTTCTTTTGCTCCGCAGACGCTTAAAATGTTAAAAATAGTCCAGGGCCTCCAATTTTTGAGCTACAGAGGTTTTTTTTTTAGCTTTGAAAAAATCTCTACAATAACAATTACGAATTATTTTTTTAACACTCCATTGGTCGCGCTATGAGCGCTGCGCCGCATTTTTTCCGATTTTTTAAATTACACTGCAGTAAAGCTTCAGAAAAATTTGAAAAAATTTGACATCTCATTTTGAAGTGTCTAGAAGCCCGATCAATGAAAATATTCGCTAAAAATATCATAAGTCGTTAGATTTTCTAATTTTCATTCCGAAATTCCGGGTCGTGTACCATGTATAAGGCAAATTTTTACAAAAACAACTTGAGCTTGAATATATAGTTAATCGTAACACTGAACATGAAAAATTTTACGGGACTTCTTCAATTATGGGATCTAGATCACTCTTGATTTTTTTTCAAATTTTTTCTAGATCTTCGAAATCTACCATTATGTTGATTTATGCTGGTGCGGCCCGGCGCTTACGGTGCGACCAACGGCGTTCGTAACTTTTGTACGACCAACGGAATGTTAAATACAATTCTTGGTTAAACTAGTTGGACTACAATTAAGTTTAATCCTGTATTACTATAGTTATGTAATTGGCCTTGGCTGTTCAACTATAAACTCAATAAATGAATAAAGAAAATACGACGTCACATAACTGCCATATGATTGTCGTAAATTTGTCATATGACGAAAAAATTGACGGTCATTTTCACATCTCTAGAAAGGAAAGAATTCTCAAAATGTATTTATACTACAAATAAATAACGAATTATTATTGGTTTATTGATCATTTTATCAACTCAACTATTACAATATCCAACGAGACCGAGATGTAATAGGCGCGTTAATATATCGACCTACATCGCAAAAGAGAATGGTTGAAAAAAATTATGGAAAGGAGGAAAACATATTATTTTGCGAGTCTTTGAAATGAATGGACTCAGATAAAACTGTCACAAGATCTCTTTCATGCTCCAGAAATTTTCCTACGAAAACAACTCTTTAAAAAATTCCCGCATTTTTTCTTCTAGGGATATTTACAATTTAATCTACAACATACATCGTTCCGTCACTTCACGATTCATAGTACCTCAGATGAAAATCTTTACTCACACTAAAAAAATATATATATGTAAAATATATTAAAGTGGATCATATTACATATATTTTGGGCATTTTTTTCGCGGCTGTAAAGTGTTGGTTTTTCGCGCGACGCGAAACTTTGCGCACGAGAATTTACTTTAGGAGACAACGTTGAACTTTACGCACTTCGCACAAAAAACCAAACGCCTTACACCCACTGCACCCTCGAAAAGTGAATTTGGCAGGTATTCCAAAAAAAAGGACGCGTTACATGTGCGTGTGAAAAATGAGAATTCTACGTTTTAGTAACGCAATAAACTATTCAATATATCGACACCTTGATAACAGACAAGCGTAAGTTCTATGAGTTCCCTATGTAGATACGCTTGTCTGTTATTAAGGTGTCGATATTTTTCCATAAGGGTAATAACAGATTTCATCATTGGACTCAGAAAGTATTTTCTGACAAATGTGAGTTTATAATCCGAATCGTAAACGAGGATTACAATCACATTCGTCAGGAACTACTTTGTTGGCCGTGGGATGTCGTGATGTCGTCGAGACTAGACGAGAATTATTTTGGAAAGATCATCACGGTCTAAAAAACCATCGAAGGTTTATAGGAATCGTCGTAATCTCGAAAGACATTGGATCGGTGCAGCTCGTCACGAACTTGGAAGAATCCATCACGTCTGAGTTTCAGTATTTTCTGTTTTTCAAATGTTTGTCTCGATATCTGTCTCGTCTCGTCTCGTGAACTTAAAAAACCGCAAATCTCGAGATCTAGACAAGACAAATCCTCCCGGAATTGTGACGAGATGCAACGATCCAATGTCTTTCGAGATTGCGATGATTCCAAAACTTTCGATGTTTTTCCAGACCGTGATGATCTCTTCAAAATAATTCTCTTCAAAATTTTATGCATGCTCTGCGTGCGTAAAATCCCACTTTCCACACATTGTGATGAAAAATAGGATTTGACACTCATGGGAATAGCGTTGTTTGACCCTTAAGAGGGTAAACATCTCCCACGGGTCAAGAAGAACTTTTTTTACGGGCCTTCTGACGAAAAATTGCATTCATCACACCGTCCAAAAGTATTTTCTGACGAATGTGATATGGTACATAATCACATTATGGTACATAATCACATTATGGTACATAATCACATTCGTCAAAAAATACTTTGTGGCTACAAAGCCACATTCGTCAGAAAATACTTTTGGACGGTGTGATGAATGCAACTTTTTTTACGGGCCTTCTGACGAAAAATTGCATTCATCACACCGTCCAAAAGTATTTTCTGACGAATGTGATATGGTACATAATCACATTATGGTACATAATCACATTCGTCAAAAAATACTTTGTGGCTACAAAGCCACATTCGTCAGAAAATACTTTGTGGACCTTGTGATGAAAATAACTATTTTGTGATACCTGCCTCAAAAGTGTACTTTTTGAAACGGTTTAGTGTGCATAACGCGGTTGTTTTCCGCACGGTGTGCGTAAAGTAAATCTCGAGTGCAAAAGCGAAGCTTTACGTACGAGAATTCACGTTCCCTACGCTCTTAAACTTTATGCACTCGTCCACAAAAACAACGACATTACTTCCACTACCGTTCCGAACAGTGAACTCGGCAGGTATCACAAAAAATAGGATGTATTACACGTGCGTGTGAAACAGTGGAACTTTACACACTAGTAACGCAATATACTATTACGCACTCGTATCGAAATATGTTATTAATATATGTTACGGGTGCGAAAAATGCAATTTAGTCAAGTGAAGCGAGGTTAGAATCGTAGTTTATTGGATCTAGCAACATAATAGTATATGGTGTTATTAGTATGAACCTGAAACTAGCGGAATATTCGCGTGCGGGAGATTCAATTGAGGGGATTTTTAAAGGTGTGAGAGTCAAATAATCACATGTACAAATGTTTTTTAAGTGCGAAAAAATTTGTACGTGATTAAAATTACTACGGAAAAATATCGTTCGCGTTTAGTGCTACAGGGGCCTTCAGCTCCGCGCGCCAACCTCACGCAAGCCGAAAACCCCTGCACGGAGAGAATTTTTTTTAGAAAAATTCTAGTGCTACCATGGGAAAAGAGGCGCAAAGTGACGGCCAGGAAAAAAATCCAGTGCCGGCACTAGAAATTTTATTGGGGAAAACGTGAATTTTTCCCCGTATTTCTGTGAAAATTTCACAGAAATCCCTAGAAATTTTACCAGAAATACCAAGAAATTTTACCTTGACAGCACTAGAATTTTTCACAGCCGGTGGATTGTAATTTTTTCCAGTACTTGTACTAGAATTTTTCTAGAAAATTTCTCACCGTGTGTGGCACTCGACACGAAATATACAATTTTGTGATACCTGCCGAGTTTACTGTTTGAAACGCTAATGCGTGTAAAGTGGTTGTTTTTGTGCACGAGTGAGGAAAGTTCAAGAGCGTGTGTAAAGAGAATTTCGAGTGCGTAAAGCGAAGCATGCTCGTGAACTTTACGCACGCGGTGGGGAAAACAACCGCTTTACGCACATTACACCGTTTCGAAAAGTGTACTCTTCAGGCAGGTATCGCAAAAATATCATTTTCTAGCCTAAGTATAACAAAAAAATCACTAACCGTCGAATAAACAGGTTCATTAGAAGGATAACACCCTTTAACAGTGTTCCCCTCGAGTCTTGAGACTCCCCTCTTCTTCTTGCTCTCCTCCTTCCCCCTGGACACCCCATTCACCCCTTCTTTAACACTTTTCCCCGAACATTCAACAACACCCCGCGAACAAATCGCATGACACCGTGGCACAAGAAACACAGCAGGACAAGTCTTAGTGTCATAATAAAACTGCGAAGACTTCGATGACACCGGATTAGCCCACCCAGACTTGCCGTACAATCTCAAATTCACCGGGTTAACAGACTCCTTCCCCACCCCACTGGACAATGTTGACGGATACCTGTACACATGTTCATCAGTCACATTCGCTTGAATCCCTTTTGCAACCGTCTTGGATATGTCCCTGAGCACTTCTTCTGCTGTCATAGTATTCGCACCATCAATAACCGAATTCAATGTTCTCGATAATTCCAGTAGCACATCTTTAGCTGATGCTGTTGAACCACCACAATTACGACATGTAGTTCTGTATTTACCAGGATAAGAGTAAATTCTGGCGTAGCCACAGTATTTGCACAAACTCTCCTCGTGACCGTCAAAATTACAATCGCGATTGCCACCGGTGCACGGCCAGATGGGCCTAGGTATCTCTGCCTCGTGTATCACAGCGAGACCAACGTCTGCTATGGTACCCGTTCCTGAACTTCGAAGCACTGATGCGCAACACGTTGAGTAGGAGCCAGCTGACAGGGGGGGTGAATGGGACGAGTAACCGGAACTCGTTGAGCTTCTCCATCTTCGTGGATTCTTTCCGGAAATTCCGCCGTTCACCAGTCTCGATACTTCCGCGTCAATTATATCCGGCTCTGGCCTGTAATCATGTGAAAATTATCACTTCGTTATGAGTTATTAGTGAGTTGAATGAACGATATGTTTATCCAGGTTCATCATGGGTGGGAAACAGGGCGATGACGGGTGCGTGGTATTTCAAATCCCGTGTTCATTCGAGTTCTTTTTAATTACGTCATAATTATTTTTCAATTTCTTGTTTGTATCGGCTGATACTATCATCGGAGCGTACTTGCGGTATCACTTTCATCTTGGTTTATTTCTCAAGGCGTGTTACCATTTATGTCAATATTGTTAACATCGTATTGTTAGATAATCGGAACTTTTTGGATTCTGAGGCATGCTTTTCTCTATAGTACTTTATTTCATCATCATTTTTTATTTGTTATGTTGGCGAGAGAACACTTGGAGTCATCGAGGTGGAAGGAGAATAGAATGTATCAAACGGTTGTCTACGAAGCGGAGTCCATTTACACTGGTAGAAATTTTTTCAAAATTAATTGACGGTTACAAAGCAATTTTCTACATTGTAATTTTTAATGGGATTTTAAATGAAATTGTTCGTTAAATTTCTGAGTGATACTGAAAATTTAATTGTCTCATACGGTGAATGTCTCGGCAGTTGAACGGACATAGAGATCATCATAAATTTTTATGGCTAAAAAATAACTTTGAGCGGGTCAATTTGTTTCTCTAAATAGAGTGGACTCCCAAAATTTGGTACCAAATAATTGATTGCACATTGAGAAAAACAACGTTTTTTGATAAGTACGTGTTTACTTATATCAAGAAACTTGTGACTTGAAAATTTTCAAGAGCAAAATTTCTTGTACTAAGAACAAAAAAACTTTAGTCAAGAAATTCTGTACTTGTTTCAAAGACGAGAACAATTTCTTGATAACAAGAAAGTAATTTCACAAAACCCAATAAAATTGAGTTAATACACTTAATACACTGAGAGAAAAAAAATAATTCTTCTGAGTGTGACAGATGGATACATTAGGGCACTGCACAATCGACCGGCTGTGCGACTGGGGTTTTACATGGTTTCCCGTGCAGTCCTAGCTCGAATGGGGCACAGCTAAGAGTAAGACGGCCATGATACCACAGATAACAATGAGAGGAAAAGAAAGAAGGGGAGGCAGGCTAGAGGAGGGGTTTCAAATCGAGAATTACTTCGATAAAACCAATGAAATAGAAAAATAAAAATAATTCTTCTGACTATATTCCATCACCATCGAATTATAGTCAAAAAGTCCTCAACAATTTTTCATGGGTTACGGTAACTATGGCCGGAGAAGTAATTACTACAATGGAATGTAGTCATTGCAACTATTTTATAGTTCTCCCCACGATAGATTTGTCGTGGTTACTTTTGAACTTTGGTTAGTTTAACTGCATTTTGATTTGCAAAAATTACGCTTGTGAAGTTACTATAATGTTATGTGCCTATTTTCTTATTGTAAATCGAACTTCAGATTTTTCTCTCAGTGTAGTTTTTAGCCTCAATTTTAATAGTACATTACGTAACTAGTGCGGAAAGCAGGCGGTTACTCACGAGGGCAGCGCAGCCGCCCGAGTGATACCGCCTGCTGTCCGCACGTGTTGCGTATACTATTTTATATGATAAGGGCGTGATGAAGTACGGGGGTTGGGGGGGGGGGCGAGTGGGGGGGAGGCGAAGCCCGCCCTACTGAAGAAAAACGATCACATTTATTTAAAAAAGTAATCATAAAAAAGTGTGATTGAAAAATTTCATGTTCGTTACTGAATTCTCAATGACTTATCACTAATTTCTAGAAATCAATCATCAAATTTCAGTGAAGCTTCGGTGAATTCTGTGACATGTCTCTGAAAAATACTGCACGGAGAGAAATTTTCTAGAAAAATTCAAGTACGAGTACTGGAAAAAATTACAATTCACCGGCTGTGAAAAATTCTAGTGCTGTTAAGGTAAAATTTCTTGGTATTTTTGGTAAAATTTTTGGGGATTTCCGTGAAATTTTCACAGAAATACGGGGAAAAATTCACGTTTTCCCCAATAAAATTTCTAGTGCCGGCACTGGATTTTTTTCCTGGCCGTCACTTTGCGGCTCTTTTCCCGTGCTAGCACTAGAATTTTTCTAAAAAACTTCTCTCCTTGTATATTCTGAAAATCGAACATCGCATTCTAATTAAGCTCTTATCTAAATACTTTGAAAATTAAATACTAAATTTTCATAATTTTCCACAAATTCTCGGTGTTATCTTGAAGGGTGATTTTGATTTTCACTGATTTATTCACAAAAAATTAACCTTTTTCTAACAAAATTGAATAATATTCCATGTTATTCAACTGTCCTTAAATGTTTCAAGAGAGACTACTGGAATTTTTCTATCAGTATATTAATCTTCATGCATAATAACTAAACTGTTGGATTTTGTAACTGTTATGAAAAATTTGACATAGGTAATAACGTAAAGGGAACTTGGAATGTTGAAAAGTGAAATGAAATTAATCAACCAGTCATCTAGAGAAGTGGGACTTCAGCGATCAATCTTCTTACATAATTCGTTTTTATAAATATCAGATGACAATTATGATCATAAGTAATCATTCCCAGATCCTTTCAATTCGACATCATCAGTTCACCATTTGTCAAGACATTATTAATTCATTTGTGAAGGAAGGAACGTTATAAATCGACTGAATTTGAAGGTGAACTCATCTCGAATATTTATGAAAAAGCCTACCAAAAAGGTCTACACTATTAGAAAAAATTTGAAATATCACGGACAATTTGATACACGGAGAGAAATATTCAATAAAAATTACGTATCTTTTCCGTAATTCCGGAGCGAAATGTGGTTGTAGGAAATTTTACGGAACTGTCACGGAATTTTTCCAGAGCGTTCGGTAGTTTTTATCTGAATCTCCTGTGAAAAATTACCATACCGTCACTTAAATTTTCTGAGTCGATTCCGTAATCGGTGAGCGAGCTGTGAGTTCCGTAATTTTTACTGAATATTTCTCTCCGTGTAGTCATTTCCATAAGAGTCACATGGAATTCCATTTCGGGGAATAACTAATTATATAAAGGTTCATGTTTCAGGTAGAATTCGAGGGAAATGCATAGGTTTTCAGCAGTCGTAAGAGGGACATGTGAAAACTTAGTCGAATTTTCTGTTGAATTCTTACCACAGAGAAAACAAGTGGGAAATTGCTCTTGTATTGCATACAGTATAGTTATTTTGGCTAATAAATTGGCAATATGCAGCCGCCTGGTTAGTTTGCACATCATTTCCTTCCATCATGTATAATTCGTTGTTTATTACTTTTTATTAGATTGAATAAGATTTCTTTTTAACGAATTTTGTCAGATCTTCATGAATGTTATCATCATTATTCTTATTATCCCTTTATTACCCTTTCCCTGTCTCTCCCCTCAGCCCTTGGATAAAATTATGATAGAAAATTTTTATTTATACATACTTGAATGACTTCGAAAACAAAACATTCGAAGAAACTATCAGAAAGCTCACTTTCAGGGAAATTCATGAAAAATTCAAAATTTTCAACAATCATCATAAAAATTGAATCAACCAATATAGCTATCGTATTCATCTTTTAACTTCGATTTAATGGCATTGAAATAAATATTTTGAGCTATGATTGAATTCATTTGAAGCATGATATTCAAAGATATCCCCGGAATTCTGATTTTTAAAAAATACAAAATTTTTGAAAATTTTCGAATAAATCAAAATAACGACTATTGCTATCGCCTTTATTTCCGAGCTCGGTTAAGGGACATCCAAACAAATTTTTTCAGTCATCATTCAATCAATTTAGAACATTTTTTTCTAGTTATCGTGAGACAACCGATTTTCGAAAAAATTCAAAAGTAAAAAAAAATAATCTATGAATTAAATTTCAATTAATGACGTTTGATAGGGCTCAATAATACCGACAGTTGAAAAAAAATCAATTCTATCCATTAATTAGCGAACCATTGAAGGCAAACTTTATCACACACATACATACACACACACACATACGATGAAATTTTCCGGGATTTGACACTTTTCAAAAATTTAATCTTGTATTAAAGTCGTGCGATATCCTTTCAATACTGAGATAGAACGCATTGATCGTGAATTGAAATTCGATAATCAACATTTTTCTTCGGAAATCTATGAAGTTGTAAAGTCTTCCGACATTTTCTCCTCACACCAATAAAAATGTTAGAATTAAATCTCCGTGAAGGTTTCAATTTTCGGAGCGTCAAGGTTCGGTCTAGGGAAAAAATCGAGTAATCGAAGGTTTTCGGTTTCAATCGTGTGTGTGGGCCGGGTCGATGAATTCAAGTGACCTTCACGGAATTAACGGTTTTTACCTTGATTTCCGAGTATTTCTATGAAAGTAGGGATGAGGAGAATTTTAAGTTTCAATATTCAGTCACACGAATAAACAAATATAATCGAGAATATAGTGAAATTTGTTGGAGATATGATGGCATAGGGAAGGGATATCCAACACAAGCAGGGGACCGAGCCTATTCGACAGAAGGCATGTAACCTTTACTTTAGGCTTTATTAGTCTTTTTCTTTTTACTTCCGAATGGAAGCATTGTATTTATCGAATCCGTAATTTTCAATTTTTTGTATCAGGATAGCTACTGTTGGCATCAGGAGTTCGAATATGCTATTTTTAAACCATGTCCGGATGTGTGTATGGATGCATCTGTGCGTAGTACTATAGTTACTTGAGATTACTATAGTTACTTGTGCAAAGTACTACACGGAGAGAAATATTCAATAAAAATTACGTATCTTTTCCGTAATTCCCAAGCGAAATGTGGTTGCAGGAAATTTGACGGAACTGTCCCGTAATTTTGACGTAAAATCACGGAATTGTTTCAGAGCGTTCCGTAATGTTTACCTGAATTTCCTGTGAAAAATTATGATACCGTTACTCAAATTTTCGGAGTCGATTCCGTAATCGGTGAGCGAACTGTGAGTTCTGTAATTTTTACTGAAAATTTCCGCGTATAGTTACTTGAGGTATACAAAAAAGATTTCTTTCAATAATTTCAAATTTCACCGGTTTTTCGTTGCAAGGGTTAACTTGCCAACGCGGCCATCGCCCGAGGGCTTTCAGCCAGGGAATGTTGAATGTGGAGTGGATTTTTCAGTTGAAAATTCCGTGGAATATTCGGTTTGAAAACTGTGTTGAATTTTCAGTTGAATATTATGTGGAAAATTGTGATGAAAAATTGGTATGGGAATTTTGGCCCGGCCGGGGCTCGAACCTGGGAGCTTGAGAATCTCATGCTGTTACCAAGTGCGCCACACAGCCGGGTTTTTCTTTCAATATTTACAATATTAAGGTATGTTTTCTATACCTAGAAAATTTTTATTAAAGAAAGTCTCATAACGCGCGTACTCACCGGTTAAACCTTTTATGGCACTAGACTCGATAGACCGCGATTCTAATCACGCTTCGCTCGGTTAGATCGCGGTTTTCGGGCTCAGCGCAATAAAATATTGCATATCACACGACGATGAAAGTATTATCTGACTCATGTGATTATAATCCTCGCCTTTGGCTCGGATTATGCAGTCACATTTGTCAGATACTTTTATCGTTTGATAGCATAATGTACTGCTATATCACCATGTGTAATAAATCGTGTTTATCGCACAGAGGGGTGAAAAAGTATATTTCGATACGTGTGCGTAAAAGAATTTTTTGTCATTTCGGTCGGAAGGCAGCGCTTCACGGAGGCTAAGGAAATCCGTGAATCCCTGCCTACCTAGGGCTATTATTCCTCACGGAATAGTATATTTCGTCATTAGGCCGAAAATTTTTTTTCTGGCGAATATGAAGTTTGCAGCACGAGCCGAAGGCAAGGGCTGCAATCATATTCGTCAGAAAAGTTTTTTTTTGGCCGTATGACGTACAATATTTATTTATGAACAAAGAACAATTTATGTCTTTGGAACAAAGAATACGAACAAAGAATATATTTATGTCGTTTGGCCCGAAAACCGTGATCTAACCGAGCGAAGCGAGATTAGAATTGCGGTTTTTTTGGGCCTAATGACATAAATGTTGTAACGTGATAGAAATCATGTACTGTTCCTCGCCTGAACTGACCGCGGATTAAAGGGGGGGGGGGGAATTAGGAAATTCCCCCAGCGAGGAGTCGGATCACCCAAGGCCACATTTTCACATTTATTTCTCGTATTGATTTTATTTTTGTTTATTTTATCGCTCAATTCTAACGCTGCTGCGTTCACCACGGGTTTCGCGTGAGTTTCTCGACGAGGAGAGTGGAGCGGAGCATCGGGGAGAGCTACGAAGTCGGCGCTACGGCAGATGACGAGTTGGCACACCGACGAGCACGCACACACGCAGTAAAAAAAACCCATGGCACTAGCCGTGAACGATATTTTTCCGTAGTGATTTTCACTATTACGAGTTTGGGGAAGGGCCAATACCAATCCCCGGACGAGGAAAAGTGAAGATCAGTACGGAAATAGCATTTTTCTGGGCTGTTGGAATGGGTTTTTTTCACTTGTGTGATTGGCCAGTCTTTGCTTTCGGTTTGGACGCCAACGCTGATTGTTTCGCTCGTGTGGCCAACGCCACTCGTGTGGCGTTGGCGTCCGAGCCGAAGGTGAAGATTGGCGAATCACGCGAATTGAAAAAATCCATCGCAACAGTCCGGGACAAAATTTTTTTGTAGTGAATTTCAAATTTCCGAGTTTGGGAAATATGCAATACCAATTCCCAAATGAGGAATCGTGAGAAGCAGTACAGAAATAAAGCTCACATGATTGCAGCTCTCGATTTCGTCTCGGGCTGCAAACTCACATTCGTGAGAAAAGTTTTGTTCGGCCTAATGACAAAATGTATTATTTGACCCGTGGGAGGGGTGTAGCGGTTGCCCAAGGGGTGCTACCGTGCCAAAGGTCAAAGAACACTTTATCCACGAGTGTCAAACCCTATTTTTCATCACAAGGTGTGGAGAGCAGGATTTTGCGTACGCGGAATGCGCGTAAAGTTTAGCTTTACGCACAAGTGATGAAAAATACTATTCCCGCCCCGCGGGCGCAAAGTACACATTTCCCTCCCCATGGTTTGAAAGATAGCGTGCTAACCATGGAGGAAAAAATAGAGGAGCCTTCGGCACGGGTGGTAAGCATGTGGGTAAAGATGCTTTGTTTTACCTTATCAATCTCAAAAAAAGATTGAATCTTCTTTATGGGAAAAAGGCCTAACAAACGAATATCTCAACAAAGTTACAAACATTTTGAGTTTTGCATGTGTCGTTTTGGTACTCTTCATCATTTCACTACCGAATTCAATAAGACGTGACGAAACTTTCCCACATCCGCATCATTGAATTTCATCGCTTCTCTCACTGACATTTGCCAAATACTTATTTTGTTCGCATAAGAATGTTTCACCTATATAATTGCAAAGTTCTCTTGAAAGTCTTACCATTCAACATCATAACGAGATGCAAAACCAATTCCTCCATTCGCAGACTGGCAAGCAGTCGTTTGTGTTTTACCGCGACAGAGCATACCCCTGTACGATGCTCTTTGATTATAGAAAGCCCGATGCTACCGCATGGATTCGATGCAGGCTCGTCCAGGGACAAAAGCCAACGCTGCATGCTATACACTCACCACCAAAGATATATCTGAAGAGATTCTTCTCATCTCGCGTCACTCGCACTCGTCCCCATTTTGTAACACTCGATAATAAACTTCTGAAATCATGAAAAAAAATCCATAGGTCACACCAGAAATTCATTTCGTACCTCATAGGCATAAAAAAAACTTGAAGAATCATTGTTTATGGGTGATTAAATGCCAACTGCGATGATAATTGGGATTTTTTTCTTCCATTGCGAAATAGAGCGTTGAGGTCTAACGATGGGAGACGCGAAAGTCCCAGTCTTTGCCGCTTCGTGGTAATTACAATGAGCAATTGTTCAAAGTAATGGTTAGTTGGGTAGAAATTCATGAGGATATAGGTGGGAGATCTTTTTTCATTAAAGATGTTTATCCATTTTTCGGAAACCGAATTTTTTTCATGTTCAAGAAAAATTCTGTCATTTTTTAGGCTGATAGGGAAACACCACTAAGAAAAAAAATGCTTGATTCAATCTGAAACCTCTACTTGACCTGAGTAGGATTGAATCAAGTGGACAGTCGACTTGGATCGAGTACACTGTTAGAAAAAAAATGAAATTTCATGGACAGTTGGCTACTAATTTTCAGGACAGTTACACTGAATGCGATTTAGGGGAAAAAATCATGAAATTTCGGGTTTCACTGAAAATTCAGTAAAATTCCAGAATTTTAGGCAGCAGAAAGACGAGAATTCCTTAATTTATTTGAATTTCCAATCAAATATAAATATTCAGTACTAAATTACAATGAATTTAAAGTGAAATCTGAAATTTCATGATTTTTTCCCCCTAAATCGTATTCAGTGTCACGGTCCTGAAAATTCAAGAATATATTTACCGGCATTTTCTTGTTTTCTATTCATTTTCAGGGAAAAATGGAACTGAAATTTACAGATCTCTTTGATTTTTCTACGAAATTCTGAATTTTCAATGACGAAATTCCTTGCAACTTCAGTGGTAATTAAATTCAATAAAAATTTCCAAAAAGTGTGCTGGAAAATTGAGACAAGAATTTTTAACGGTGTATGTCCAAAAAATGTCAAGTCTAGTTGGCAACTTGATTCAAGTAGAGCTAGACTCAAGTTTCTTCTTACACAGAGAGAAATTTTCTAGAAAAATTCTAGTATGAGTACTGGAAAAAATCACAATCCACCGGATGTGAAAAATTCTGGTGCTGTTAAGGTCAAATTTCTTGGTATTTCTGGTAAAATTTCTGAGGATTTCTGTGAAATTTTCACAGAAATACGAGGAAAATTCACGTTTCCCTCAATAACATTTCTAGTGCCGGCACTGGAATTTTTTCCGGGCCGTCACTTTGCGCCTCTTTTTCCGTGCTAGTAGTGGAATTTTTCTAAAAAATTTCTCTCCGTGTACACAATAAAAAACGCAGTACAAATTCCTCACCAAACAGTGTTAAAAACGGTCGGAAATTGGTAAAAAATGTAGTTCTTGACTATTTTGAACACCGTTTGGAGTGGACTTCGCACCGTTTTGTTTCTTACTGTCTACTTGAATCAAGTAGATTCTGCATTGACACTAGTTTTTATAAACCAATATCGATTTTTTTTTCAAATACCTATTGTATAGAATCAAGTATGTAATGACTCCTCCAGACACCACACATTTTGTCTCGGTAAATTATGACATTGATGAAATAATCATGGTAAGTAATCTACAGATTATTTGAGAGGAGATAATCGAAAACGTAGTACTTGACGAAACACATCAATAAAATAAGTACTTCCCACTAATAGATTCTCCCCCGGTTGATTTTAATTTTTCCAACAACAGATGATGCAATCAATCTCATGATGAAACGCGGTGAAGATGGCATTGGGAAGAGTATTGTAAATCACAATTGGATCCATTTAAACAATTATTTTTTCAGTTATCGTCAAAAAACGATCGGTCAGATACACACATACAGACATATATCAGGACATGTTCTAAAAATAGCATATTCAAACTCAGGCTAAAATTGGGTATACTTACACAAAAAATTGGAAATTTAGGATTTGATGAATGCAATGCTTCCATTCGGAAGCAGAAAAACTTATTCTTCGTAATTATCAATGAATAAGTTTCTGAACGTAAATAAGATAAACTTGGAAAACGTTTTTTTTTCTCCGCGTGGGCTAACCAGGCAGACAACTTAGATGTTGGAAACTTTAAGGATATCCAAGTACTTCGGCTACTTTTTCTTCAAAGAAAAGCTTTTCTACTTTTGTAGTTGATCATCAGAGCTTTCATTCGAGCCCCATTCAAACCATTCATTTGACCCTCAGTTTCTGGACAGTTAACAATGATTTTATTATTCAAGCTTTGCAGGTCTGAATTTGATTCTCAACATTAAACCGTTGGAAAAAATTTAAAAAATCTGAAAAAAATTGGAAAGTTCACTTTTGGAAGAAAATTGATTAAATAATTAGGACATTGTAATTTTGTAAAATTACAAGCATTTTTTATAAGTAATTTATGAACAATCAATATTCAACCATAAAACTCATTTGTTCGGAATTGTAACAAATTTAATCACATTCAGAATTTTACCGGAAATCAATTTCATGCGTAAAAAAATAAGGTTTCCCAAAGTTTAAACAATTTTAATAATTTATTCATTAATAACGAGTGTTAAAAAAAAAAACCATTCTGTGCAAAATGTAATTTGAATAAAAATGCAGAATGTAATTTGAATAATGCTGAATATCCATGATTTTTTTCCAATTTTTTTCAACCAATGTGATTAACAAATTTGATGATCGAAAATGGCTGAATCTACAGTGTAGTATCAAACTGTTAAACATACTTGGATATCCAAGTAACTTTTACAGTTCCTCTTGTTAAATCACATGTAAACTCATGCTAACGCTAACATTTACTGCATATTATCCATCTTAATTCTACATAACAATGTGGGGGTCGTTGATTAAAATTGTTATCAATATAAATGGAGATGGTAGGAGATGAGGAATGGGCGAAGATTGACCGAGAGTGACTACACTGAGAGAAAAACGACACAGTTCTCAAACAAATCTTACTTGTGCCAAGAAAACAGTTTTTTGAAAATTATTAAAAAAAACATTTTTTTGTGCCAAACATGCAGAGAGTGCGCCCAGATGAAAAATTCTGTCACAGAAATAGATTTAGTAGTTCAAAAAAAATTGCACTCTCTGCACACGCAAAAAATGTCATTTCCAGCAATACTCCACGCACAAAAAAATTGATAGAAAAACCTATCGAATTCGTTAGAAAATTCTATTGAATTTCTATTAAACTTTCTATTAGTTTTTGGCTGATTCTATTGACATGTTCAATAGAAAACATTCAATAGAAAAAGTCAACAGAAACGGATTTTTCTATATAACTTATTCTTTCCATATATTTTCTATAGAATTTGCTCGACTCAAATTTTCTGAGTTTTTTTGATTCTATTTTTCTATTTTTCTCATCAAGAAAATCAAACGAAAAAACTTAGAAAATTTGAGCCAAGAAATATAGAAAAATTGAATTCTATTGACTTTTTCTACTGAATATTTTCTATTGAACATTTCAATAGAATCGGCCAAAAACTAATAGAACAGTTTAATAGAAATTCAATAGAATTTTCTAACGAATTCGATAGGTTTTTTTATTAAATTTTGTCGTTTTGTGTTTTGTTCATTACTCGATACTCCCCTACGTATTTTCCTCCAGAAAAATGTTCGTTTTATGCCAAACAAGGGATAGTAGTTTTTCGTTTCGGCTAATAGTCACAGACAACAAATGAACCGTTGAATGACACAGTAATAATAATATGTATGATAGCAATCTTGTGACTTAGGTATACTATATTTCTCGATAAATTTTTCTCTATATGAGATATTTTCATTCTGAAAAGGCGCCGTCTCGTGTGAATCATTCGCCCCGAGAGCCAAATATTTCGTTATTGTCGAAAGCAGAGCAATTATTCATGTTTGAGCCTTTCAAATTTGAATAAAACAACTTCTTTTTTGGCAATTTTCAACTAGCAATTTTGTTGGACCAAACAAGACTAGTTTGAGAACGTATTTGTTTTTCTCTCAGTGCAATGTTGGCCAGCCGTGGCCGACTGTCAGCTTACCCTGAGCCATTCCTCATCTCCTATACCAAGGGTCTACCAGTAGAAAAAAAATGAAAGTTTTTTGAGTGTCTGCGATTTTGGATAAACAACGTTCGTTCAATACAACACGTCAGCTCCAAGAAGACGTCATCGAACATCACCGGCGACTATTTATCACGAACAAATAGAAAATGAAAGAGTGAATCGAATTTCTCCAAGAACCTTCCTGTGCCGAATTTCTACAAAATCCACTTGACCGAGAATAAATATAGACATTTATCCAAATTCATAGCTGTTCATAATTTTATTACGAAAATGATATTCAATCTGATGTAAATTTATCTCTGTAAATAACTTTCACGGTTTTTCCTTGATTTCTCAGATTAATTTTTCTCGAATCTCCTCACAATTGCCATTGAACGTCCGAAATTCACATGTCGAAATACAATCGTGAATAATTTCGGGATATTTCCATCGGCTTACCCCAAGGACGGGATTTCTAGCTATCCATTACCATTACCATTAAAAAACAATTTAGCATTCTTCATCAACGCCCCCCGATCCCCTCCATCGAAAAGAAATCCGGTGCCCCTTGGTGTTCGAGGATGCCCACCGGCAATGAATTCCCTCATCCTCTCATTACCCATGACAATATTGACGTATTTCACTTGCAGTTTGCCAAACATGAAACCGTGAGGAATGTCATCGCAACTCGGGATGAAGCCCGATCGCTTGGGCAAACAGTGAAGAAGTCGAGTGTGTGTAATGAAAAATGAATGTACATGAGACAGTTGCAGTCGTTGAAAAAGTCATCTGGGTCTCGGGAAAGTCCATGAACGCGTGAAACTCGCTCTCATCATAAATACGTAACACCAAATGAAAGAAAAAAAAAAAATCCCGGGAGAGAGTACACCGTAACACGTCTTCGGTAGGTCGTGCGACCAAGGTCGAGTGTTATGCGATCCTGGTTTGTTTCGAATGAAATTGAAATACCGGGAGAGAAATGAAAAACAAGTGTTTATGCAGAAACCGAAAGCAAAATGAGGGGCAAAAAAAGAACGCGAGCCGAACGAAATCATTGGACACAAAGAGGCATTGGATGGCGCCTCTCAGTGCCACATGGTCGCTCGATTGCGTTATCCCGTCCACGAAAATAACATTCGATTGAGAATCGATTGAGGTGGCGCAGAGGGGAGAGGCAGAATGGTAAGAGATGGCTCCTGCATTGCTGTCCTGGCTTGCATATTTTTGGGTTTTTTCCCCCCTCGTGTATTATGTGTACACGATCAAGGTCGGTCCCCCATGGTGTATCCGCCATATCTTTGGATACCTCAAAAAGTATCCCAGTACGCGAGGACCAACAGGCACCCGTTTGCTCGCATCGGCTTCCCCCACCCCCCGTACATATTAACCGCTATACACTTTACAACGCGAAAATATCATGACTTTCACTTCTCGCTGAGTTATAAGGTTTTATTCCCTCCTCCTCGTTCTCTTATACCTCTAACCCCCCTTACCACTTCATTCTCTTTGAATTCTTTTTTTCACTCCCCATTTTAAAATACCTCAGAGTCAAGAATATATCATGTTATTATAGCTCCCTGTCTCTGAAACGTGAGTCAAACTGAATACAATTTATTATTATCGCTTTATCTCTTGATACTTGAGTAACTTTGCATTTGCCGGGGAGTTAGACGAGGATCCGGTCCAGAGGGGATAGGGGAGAGTGGTCGTTCATTCCGACCGTGAATACTCATCTCCAGCAGTGAAGATCTGGCTACTGTGATGCGCCCACCTCTCAGCAACCAATTTCTTCGGTTGTAACGCCCCGAAAAAAAAAAATTTGATTTGCAAACTTTCACTCGAGTGTTGCCCCCTGGATGTCGCGGCAGCGAGGAGGAGAGTCAGGGACGTTTTTCAAGCGCCACCGGACGCACGTTACACGATGAAGAAAAAAAAGCTCGATTTCTTCGAGAGAGAAACAAAATGCAGGGTTCGGACATATGTAGAACGCGAGCCGGGTCGAGGACGTTCGATATCATGTTTTCGTTTTTTTTACTTTTTGGTCAGTGATGAAAAATGACATAATGTCTGGGGGATTTGAAGACCGTTATGCTCTCTCCGGTCTTCGTCAAAAGTGGATGTCCCGCTTTTTGGTTTCTTTGTTCATTTATGCAAAAATTAGCTTTTCCTTTTTATTGCAAATAGGTGTTGAGACAATGGAACAGGTGGAGAGAGTTGGAGAAACAACACTGGATGACAAATAAGATAAGTGTCTGTTCGATGAAAGAAATTTGGTGAAAGCTACACCCAACCTCGGAAGGCCTTAGCTGTCACGATAAAAAATTAGGCGATAAATCATCCTACAGGAAATGAGAATTTTACGGACTTTATTTTACGTCACATTATGTGTCATTGCATAATAATTACCAATTTGGTTTTATCCTGAACAGTGAAAGTTTGAAAAGGACAATTGGCACATTGAGAGAAGAAAAAAACGTCACATGTCGATGTGTACCGTGTGCACACATCGGGGTATTCACGGAGTGATCCTCGCGTGTTGCGTCAACAATTTTGAGCGCGCAAAGAGTCGAATCCAATCGCATGATTGGCGTGAATGATTTCGATGAAGTGATTGATGAAATAATGGGGATAATCAGGAGATTTATCTCGACATGACATGATTTTTCTTTCAACCGATCACCATTATCACTGAGACTCTCACAATTACCATGATTTCATGGAGATTCAACGAGCACACGAAGGTAATTCTGCCTGCACTTCCGCGTTTACGTCGGCATGAACGTGAGAAGAATTTCAAAATCACAGGTGGAGATTTCGTAAATAGAAAAAGCAATGGATGAAACAAAAGTAATGTCTTCAATTTTAATTGAAGTAACACACCGGCTCCATGTAAGTACCTGTCTGTGATTCTTGTGGGTACGTTTATTCGAGTGTAACTGGATTTTACCCGCTAAAATATTGAGGAACTTTCACGCGCGTATGAGCACGTCTCGTTGGGCCCCCCTTGTACTGGGATATTGCTTGAGCGCGGCCAAGTAACGTTCGATCTTGCACTCGCGGTACCCCAAAAGAAACTGAAAGTACCGTTTGTCCGTGGCGACTAGCGAGACTCCTCGAGACTCAGACTGGACACATGTACTCAATACGTGCGTTACTATGTGGGCGCGATATGTGTATGTTGTACATAACGTATTAAACCCAAAAGCCCCACGCTTATTCAAAAATACGAATGTCCGAGGCAGAGACCTGAAGGGTAATGGACAAAGCGTAAGTGGTTTCCCTCGTGTTACGATAATGGTTGAAAGTGAAGCATGGAGAACATAAAATCCTTTAGTTGATTGATTTACGACGAGGCGGAAGTTGGGTTTCATTGCTCTTCGATGGTGAAATGGTGAATCGCAATCATTTTTTATATTGGTGGATATTGAATCATCTTAATAATGAGCTATTTCAAGGGAAAATCTTGACGATTGAAAGAAGTCCTGTGGATTCTCCTCTTGAAATCAGTATTTATGATACTCTGAGAAAAAGAAATTTATGGCTTGAAAATTTTCTGAGCGCAAAATATCTTGTAGTACTTGTCTTAAAGACGAGAGCCATTTCTTTATGACAACAAAGTGATTTCTCACACCAGTCTAGCCTAGTTGAATCAATTTATTCAATAGCTTTTTAGTCTGAAATCCAAAATATTTTTATGTAAAGACCACTTGTATTGACTTAATCTGAAAAGCCGCTTTTTTGTTATGAATCAATTGCCCTCATCTCTGGGACCGCTGAGGCAATCATCCTCAGAAACTAATCAATTTTAAGTTACATTAACACGCATCGACTGGAAAAAATTTCAAATCACATCATTACTCGAGAACAAATAGGGGAATATATGAAAAAACATCATTTTTCACGTTTTTTCGCATGTTTTTTGCGAATTACTAAAGAACTGCTGAGGCGATTGTCTTCACAAACTAATTAGTTCTAAGTTACATGAAGACGCATCGATTGAAAGAAAAATTGATCGAATCGCTTCAGTTGTTCAATAAATATCATTGGACAAAATTTTGATCACATACATACATGCACACACATACGTACACACACTGTTAGAAATTTTTTGAAATTTCAGTCACAGCGTCATCTGAATTTTCGATGTTGTGAGGTTCAATTCAATTTCAAATGAAAGCGCTCACTAAATTTCTCATTCATCTGGAAAATTCACGAAAATTAGGTTTGTCATGTTGAAAAATCATCGATTTTTCAATAAAAGCTTGAATTTCCAAGCTCATCATGAAAACTGAACATCACACACAATTCAATTTTCAATAGATTGAGAATTTAGAAAAGTTGTTGCCTGAATTTTCAAAACGTTCAAGGTTTTTCAGTGCGGTATGGACTTGAAAATCGAAAATTACTTCAGTATTCAAAAAATTAAATGATTCGTCAGTGATGAAATATACACAAATTTCCTGTAACCTTGCCGTTGTTAAAAATTTCAAGCTTTTTCACTTGAAATTTCAAGACTAATTTTCTAAAAGTACTCACACGTACAAACATGCCATCAAAAACGTGTCAGGATGATTGTTAGGGGCCATAAAACGTCTACAAATCATGGAAATTCCACTTTTGATTTTCGGGGTAATTATAATAACTTAGGGTCGAGAAGTTAATCAAGCCCAATGAAATTGGTAGAAATAAAGAAATGAAAGGAGTAGAAATGGAAAAAAAACGGTCACATGCATTCTTTCGGATAGGCTCGCACTGATAGAAAGGATTAGTTATTGTTGACGAATGGATTTGGTTGGAGACGAGGGTCTATTCGGTCTCACCAAATGGTCATTCGTTAATCGTTAACAAATGTACAGTCAAGCACTAAAGGTCGTGAACAGCTTGAACTTGCATTCTATGTATTCTGTTTACGAATTTTAGTGCTCCACTGTACATTTTAGGAGCCTTGTTCGACTCGATTTTCACTTTTCAAGCGAACCATTCGTTAACTATTAACGAATATTCATTTGGTCACATTCAACTCTATCATTCGTATATCTGTCTACCAAACGAGATTCGTAATAGTTAACGAATCTCGTTTGGAATAAATGAATCAGTCTATAAGTGAATCAGTCCAACAAATTTCCGAAAAATCCGCACATACATACACACATTTTCTAAAAATATCATACCATCGTGTTTCATAACGTTCTACATTATCTCCAAACAAAATTAGAAGATCGTTAAAATCAACGATTACACTGATAAAACGATTTAATTGCTGTCAACGATGCTAAGAAGCCTCGTTAACAAATACTCAATTCTTCTATCTGTTCTATCGGCGTACAAAGCTTCCATTCGGAAGCAAAAGTGGATTGGTGAAAGGAGGGAATCATCATTGCCAATAGTACTATTAGACGAAGTGAACACATGACGACGTCATTGCCAATAGTAATTGATTAATATATCTGAACAACAAATATGAAAAGATGAATGGAACGAATACAACAGAAACAAGCAGGGTAGAACTCCGATTCGGCAGAAGCCATGTGACTGTTTGTTCATGTGTTATTAGCTTTTTTTTTACCAATTCCATTGGCAATAAGCTTCCGAATGGATCCGATTTTATCTTTAAGGATGTTCTACACCCTTTCTGCCAAAATTCACGTTTTTTTAATTTTTCTGGCAAACTTATGATGGAATTGACGTGAAAAAATATAACGTTTTTGCGTTTTGTCATTATTTAATGACTGACGAAATTTTAAGGTGGTGCGAACATTTTCCTGCGTTTTCTCTAAACTTTTAAAAAGAATCACAAAACTGTAGAAAAAACGCATGAAAATTATCGCACCACTACGCAACTTCGTGAGCCATTAAAGAATGACAAACCACAAAATCGTTATATTTTTTCACGTCACTTCCATCGATAATTTGCCAGAAAAATGAAAACAACGTCAATTTTGGCTAAAAGGGTGTCGAACATCCTTAATACTATTCCGCGGACGTGTCACGCTTTTTTGTATTTCGTTTTATTATCTTTTTCGTCATAGAATCTTTAATAAACATTCATTTCTTATGAAACCGACTAATATTTAACAATATGATATAAAATAGAAATAAGCATAATTCAAAGTTGAATGACTTTTTCAATCATCTAGACGCAAAAATCATCGATCAAGTGACGAGGTGTCATTTTTGAGAAAAAACGATTTTTAGATAAATGGCTCTCTGTCATGATGTAATGAATCGATCGACCCAAAATTTTGTAGAGAAGTGAGATTCGATACTACTGATTAGTAGTCAAAATTTATGGGGTTCATTCGAACTTTTACGCGGATTACGGAACGTCAAATTTACTATGAGATGAAAAAAATAGAAAAACGTGAATATCTTGGAAACTTTGTATGGACGGATATTCATATTATGATTGATCTCGATAGGCGGCAGCAAGATGAGTATTTTGAAAAAAAAATTGAAATCGGACCAGTATTTTAGGAGATATTGAGCAAAACATTTTTCCACAAAAAGTTGAATATCTTCTAAACCACTTGTTCGATTTCGCCTACTCACGAACTCATCCTGTAATATCATAAAAGCTACAATCTCACCAAATTTCAATATCCTATCTCAATTTTTTCGGGAGTTATCGTGTATACATCAATTTTATCATAAAAATGAAAAATGCTAATTATCATCAAACTGTCCCGAGTTTCGCAGGGATATTATGACTTGAGTAGATAGATATTATCACAAGGAACACTCTGACGTCAAACAAATTCAATTAGGTAACGTAGTTTCTGAGATATTGAGGAAAAATGATTTTTGAGAAATTGTTGTATCTCAAAAACTACTTAACCGATTGTTCTGAAACTGCGCTCCGAGCTGCTCCCAAATGATAGCAATTATGTGACAAAATTTCTGATTTATAGCTGCAACTTTACTTGTCTTTTTGTTGAGATTTCTAAAAAAAAATCGAAAAATCTGCACACACATACGGACATACATACACACATTTTCTAAAAACATTATATCTTCAAGTTTCATGACATTCTACATCATTTCCAAGCAAAATTAGAAGATCGTAAAAATGACCGATCACAAGGTTTCCATTTGGAAGCAAAAAAAGGGGTAGAATTGTGAAATCGTGGTCTGAAAGGAGTGAAACAGAAAATAAATTGATGTTTTCTTATAAAAATGAAAAAATGATTCAAAGTCATATTCGAAAAATCGAGATGAATCATTAAAAATCGCAGCAATGTGAGGAATTACTCTTCACCAAATTGGCATGTAACATAAGCGCGCATGACATATTCCCGGAAAATTTAGTGTATCTCCAGAGTGAAAATAGAAATCCTTTCTCCGAGAATTATCTACACACATTTTTTGTATTACGCATGTAAGATGATTACATCGACCATCTGTTGACTCCATTGACACGTGCAGATATTTACGTTTTCTGTGCCATGCAATTCTTCAGAATTCTTCGAAAAAAGCTCCCATGAATTTTGCTACTGGAATCACTCATTTCCTTGATCAATTTACAATTAAAGAAACTGTTGGATTGGACTCATTACAACTAACCCCTCCGCAACTAAACTTTAATTAATCACAAAGAACATCTAATTCCTAGTGTAGATAAAATCATTGCATTTACTTCCTCCCAGAGCATTAAAATACTTCAAACTCTCATTAAACTTTTTCCCCTTAAAAATTGCAACAACGTGAGTAATTACTCTTCACCAAATTGGCATTGAATATAAGAGAGCATGAAATATTCCCGGAAAATTTAGTATTTACTTCCTCCCAGAGCATTAGAATACTTAAAACTCTCATTAAACTTTTTTCCTCTTGACACTCCGTTGGTCGCGCTATGACCGCCGCGCCGCACTTTTTCCGATTTTTTAAATTATACTGCAGTAAAGCCTCAGAAAAATTTGAAAAAATTTTATACCTCATTTTGAAGTATCTAGAAGCCTTATCAATGAAAAT